TCGAGTGCAATTTATGACGGGATAATGTGATGACGAAGTTTAAGAGCTTTGACATTAAAAAAGTTATTCATTTGAAATCCGGCTATTACATTTTGTGCCGTTTTCATTATCACCACCATCATCATTATTACGCTGGTACTTCTTGCAGTGCTGGGTATCCGACCTGGTTGCATTTTGTATGCAATGTTCGGTTGCTAGGAAACGGCAGCGCATCAGAACCCCCGTCTCATTAAACGCCGGTGGTGGTTTGACCCGACTCTGTGCGATTATGGGGATGTGACATTTTCTGTCTGGCGACAGTTTTCTCTCTCTCTCTCTCTGTTACTCATGCAGGGGCCGGGGGGGGGGCATCGGAAATTGCAGAATTGTAAATTTTTGGTGAAAGGTCCAATCTGTGGGTGGATTTAATTACACAAACCCAAAACAGGCGCTGTGGTGCAGAAGTTGGCATGGCCGAGTCTCAATTTGCGTTTAAAAAAAAGACAACTTTTACGGATGTTTCCTGTTATGGAAAACCTGATGCTGCTATATGGTGGGATGGTTTGCGCACTGGAATTTGCAATCCAGAGGTCGCAATCCACCACGTTTACCATTCCTCCGTACTGCCCGTGTTCGATCTTCCCACATCTGTCCACCCAGCAATGTGTGTATGTTGAACTTTCGCACCGTACGTAGCCAACCGTGCTAATCGGAGGCGCGGGGGGAAGGACAAGAAACGAACACGCAAACAAAACAGTTCTAAAGAAATTAGTTTTCAAACTAGATTTAAAAGTGCACCACTGCCAGTGGCTTCCTAATATCACAAGTGCGTTCCAGACGGCCGTAGAAGCGCATCTGAAAGCGCGCGATGCAGTGACCATCTTTGTTCGATGGCTAGCCAAAAAGGTTCGATGGCTAAGAACGTGATGAGGTGAAGAGTGGGGACCAACACCTTATCCGAGCTGTCTGCCTGGCCAGGATGTCTCGCGGGGGAAGGGTGTTCATTCTTCGCGATTGTGGGAAACCCTCCATCCGTGTTCTTATTGAACCTTGCTGTCGATTCAAATATTCCTTTCGTCATTTCCCCCGAGTTTTTATCCTGAAAGCGCTGTCGTCCTCGTGTCATTGGATGATGAACCCCACTCAGAACTCCGACAGAGCAGTGCATCGCCCAGTCCACTGAACGAGACGTTGACGAGCTGCTTAAAGAATCTCTGCGATTGACTTATTATCGTGGAGTAGCGTGTGCCTGTGATCCAGCACTCTGAAGGCGAGGGTTGGTGGAGCATGCAAAATGTTGTGAAACTCTTTTCCCGTGGGCGAGGAGGTGATATATCCCGGTTTTACAGGAGAATGCGGTACAGCATTGTGGACTAATCTCTGTTCGTTTCCATTTGTTCGGGGATATGATATCGCCTCCTTGTGCGTGTGGATTTTCTACCGGGTGATCCGGTGTCATCCCACGTGTATAATAAACACTCGTCATGAATTGGTTAAAAACATATTTTTAAAAACAAACCAATGCAGGACCTTCTTGGGATAAAAAAAGACCTTGGGCACAATGTAGCATTATTGGATAAATAAAAAAAGAGTTTAATTATTATTATCCACACTCGTGTAGAACTCTCCAGTCTCGCTACAGAGAAATGTTGACAATGAGTCAAATCTTCCCACGCAATGCCACTAATGGGGCTTGTTTAACCATACTTCACCACGCTGACCTATGTGCAAGGGGGCGTGGGTCGGAGGGCTACACCATTTCAGATATCACTCGGCGCTGACGTTAGGTGCGACCAGGTTTCGAACTCGGGTCGCCGCGTTCATATGGCAGTGCTCTAACCAGTGAACCACCAACAATGTGCATGTTCGATCGCATCACGTGAGTTAATGGGATCAATGGTGAGAGAGAGAGAGGTGTGTGTGTGTGTGTTAGCGGGTTAGAACTTAGCGGTGCATTCACTGGAGAGAATTACGCGAACTCACAATTCATTTGCGTGCACCGGCTGGCTTGTGCCAGGAGACGCGATCCGTGGCGTGTCACCGTGCCCACCAATAACCGCGGCTGCATGACCGGTCGTACCGAGATCTCCGCACCATGCTACGCCGCTCCGCCCAAGCTGGTGCAGTCACCGCCGTGCCATCTGTATCGACGTGGCACTGAACTTGCCAAACCTCGCCGTGCTACAGCCTTGTTTTAAATAACGCACCACGTGCCGATTGTCACGCGACGCCACGCATCCGTCCCGTGTCATGCAAAACCCCCTGGCCGCACGCTATCGCTCCCCGCTAAGAGCATCCCCGCTGGCAGGGCCAGTAGAATACTCCCCCCCCCCCCCAGGTGACAGATGAGCTGGTATCTAGCTTTTTTGAGCCCCCCGAAATTCGCCGTGGTCACACGGTAATTTTTAAGGCCGGTGCATAGAACGTGTCGCTGCGAAGATGTGCACTCCAGTCTTGTGCTTTGGAATGCAATTCAGGTTTTGCTCAAATTGTGAGCAACTGAAATCAATATCGCTCACCGTTGTGTGCGCGGGCGGGCGGGCGGGCGCGCGCTAATTGTGATCTCGGCAACTTTCATTCGGCGGACTGTGCTCGAGTCGGTCACAGCACCTGACTGAGCAGTTGTCATTGCACGCAGCGGAGTATAGGCCTCGTGGAGGCCAAATTTAATCACACCGAGAGCAACTGGCGAGAGTCGATGAACTCAAGACGCCTGCAGTCTTACCACCATGCAACGTAATTCCCAACAAGTCTCAGGCACTTAGCACACAGCCAGTGGTCTGCAATATCGGATTATTATATTGCGTTTTTTTGTTGTTGTTGAAATGTAAAACGTTTTCCTCGCCCACATTATCTTCCCATTGCGCTATTGGTGTTTTGTCCTGAGATTACAGAAATGTCCGTAGGAAGCCCTTGCAGTGAGCATTGTACCTCCTTGTTTTTTTTGGAAAACAGCCCTCGAACATGATGTCACACGAAAGCATCAGGTCTGAAGTCACTTGGATAGACCTCTTCATCCACACCTTCCGTCCTCCCTGAAAATCACGTTTGTCACATCAATCAACACCGCGATGTTCAATTATATCAAAGCGGGAATACGCACGCGGTAATTGAATGAACGAAAGGCGCATTTGATGAAGACGGGCGTGGGTTGTTTTGTTTTGGGCGGTCGTTCAGCGAACGGGCCGAGAGACGAACAGCCCCCAGTGGCAAGGGACAAACCCGGGGGGAGTCTCATTACATTGGTGCCGGCTTGGTGCTCTCAACATCGGTCACAAACCCCCAAGTTCCGAATGATCCTAGTAGCAAAAGTAGCTACATATGTAGTAGCCTCATATGTGTGGTGTTTATAATGACGAATACACTCCTTATGAGGCACACTCTGCTTATTGTAATACTTCTCTTGCATAGTCCTTAACACACGGAGAGGTATACGGTCCCCTCACCCGATACCCTAAGAAGGTACAGCCTCTGGACTTAGCGGGACCTACACACAGGTCTCTTGCTAACCTAAGGAGGTACAGCCTCCTATCTTGGCGGGACTTACTCTCGAGTATACCGCTATCTTAGAGTCCTCCGGCTTGGACCTAGGGGAGGCTATCTGACCCACCGCTGGCCCGGTGGGTCTTGACCACTGGATACGCCGAGCCTTAGCCCTCAGAAGGGCTGGAAGGCTGGGTCCAGGGTCCTGTCTGTCTTCAGCCCGGGCTTCGGTCTTCGTGTAGGGAGAGAACTCCCCGCGCTCTGCGCGCTCACCCTTCTTATACCCGTTTGTGGCCAGGTCTAACCAATCCCACATTTCCACGTGGAACTGTCTGATTGGTTCTTACCACAGTGTAGCTGTGATCCGCTTCACCTCGTCTGACCCCAACCGTTATTCACACAGAGGTAACGCTGCACTGCCCCTTTGATACCTAGTGGCAATGCAGGTTACTGAACAGTGAGTAGTTAGCACCTCTACATGTGTAGTAGCTACGGGCTCCGCACTTTCAAGGGCTCCGCGCTAAAATGCTTTCACGCTATCAATTCCGATTCAGTGATTCTGCACTTGCTCTATTACTATAGTACTATACTGCCTTCAACTTGTATGAACGATGGGTGTTTAAGGTTAGCGATTTGTCGTATTATCTGGCTGTAAAGCAATTGAAAAAATACAATTACTTTACTGTGCAAGTTAAAAATCGTGTGTTTTAATATTTACGGTTTTTCTTTTATTTAGGGCCCATTTATAATAGATGTTACAGGCCCCGCACTAGCTTAATCCGGCACTGCCACCCTCCCCACCCCCAAAGCCACCTGATCTTCACAGCAATTTGATCAAACATATTCAACTTCTGTGAAAAGGGAGAGAAAAAAAGCAAACAAACACCAACCCCATTTAAAATGTTAATTCGCTTGTGCTGAATTTGAACAACTCCGAAATCAGCTGTCTGCCGGCTGCTCATCTTCCATGCGGTCTGTGAGGCCCCCACCACCACTACCAACACCACAACCACCACCACCGCCACTACCACCACCACCCCACCACCACCACCGTCCCCACCACCACTACCAACACCACAACCACCACCACCGCCACCACCACCACTACCCCACCACCACCACCGTCCCCACCACCACTAGTAACACCACAACCACCACCACCACTGTCACCACCACCATCCCCACCACCACTACCACCGCCACGTCGTCCCGCATATCCTCCACAATCGCCACTTGCCCCCCCCTCCCCCGTGTCCCATTCCCCGTACGCACGCACGCGCCTGCCCCGCGTGTGCCGCCCTGCGTCACTCACGCTCCCTGTCCCCCCGACTCGCACCCCCCACCCCCCTCCCCCCCCACACGCACCCCCACTCCTCCTCACTACCACCTCCCACCCCCCACTCCCACCCCCCACTCCCACCCTCCCCCCCCACTCCCACCCCCCCACTCCCCCCCCACTCCCACCCCCCCGCTCCCCCCCACTCCCCCCCCCACTCCCACCCCCCACTCCCCCCCCACCACGTGCGTCGCTCGCAAAGCGTCCGTGGAGTCGTGCCTGCTGCACGGACTGCGGCGCCGCGCCGCCGGCTTCCTACGCAGCAACAAGGTGGCAGCGCTCTTCCTCAAGGTGGGCAAGAGCTTCCCGCCCGCCTCCGAGCTGTGCCGCCGGGTGCAAGAGATGGAGCTGCTGGTGGAGAGCGGCAGGTGCGCCCCGAGCGTGCTCGCCACACGCGGAGAGAGGGCGCGGCTCGCGTCTGTATTTGGTGGGGGTGTGGTGGTGGTGGTGGCGGTATGGGGGGGTAGTGGTGGAGGGGGTCAGTGCCGGATGATCCTAGTAGCTAAAGTAGCTACTACATATGTCGTAGCTAAAGTAGCTACTACAAATGTCGTAGCTAAAGTAGCTACTACAAATGTCGTAGCTAAAGTAGCTACTACAAATGTCGTAGCTAAAGTAGCTACTACATATGTCGTAGCTAAAGTAGCTACTACAAATGTCGTAGCTAAAGTAGCTACTACAAATGTCGTAGCTAAAGTAGCTACTACAAATGTCGTAGCTAAAGTAGCTACTACAAATGTCGTAGCTAAAGTAGCTACTACAAATGCCGTAGCTAAAGTAGCTACTACAAATGCCGTAGCTAAAGTAGCTACTACAAATGTCGTAGCTAAAGTAGCTACTACAAATGTCGTAGCTAAAGTAGCTACTACAAATGTCGTAGCTAAAGTAGCTACTACATATGTCGTAGCTAAAGTAGCTACTACAAATGTCGTAGCTAAAGTAGCTACTACAAATGCCGTAGCTAAAGTAGCTACTACAAATGCCGTAGCTAAAGTAGCTACTACAAATGTCGTAGCTAAAGTAGCTACTACAAATGTCGTAGCTAAAGTAGCTACTACAAATGTCGTAGCTAAAGTAGCTACTACATATGTCGTAGCTAAAGTAGCTACTACAAATGTCGTAGCTATGGGCCCCGCACTTTCAAGGGCCCCGCGCTAAATGCTTGCAAGCTACCAATTCCGGTTCAGTGATTCTGCACTTGCTCTATTACTACAGTACTATACCGCCTTCAACTTTTATGAACGACTGGGTGTTTAAGGTTAGCGATTTGTCGTATTATCTGGCCGTATAGCAAATGAAAAAATGCAATTGCTTTATCATGCAAGTTAAAATGTGTTAAAAAAAATGTTTTAACTTAGGGCCCCTTTATGACATGTGCTACAGGCCCCGCACTAGCTTAATCCGGCACTGTGGGTGCGAGATGGTGGTAGCCTTAGCGTAGCAGCGCCCGTTCACGTGGTTGCTTTTTCGAGTCACCGCAGACACAACCGCAAACTGACGCCGTTGATTCGAATCCAGATACGGTCAGTAGCGCTAAATGCCGAATAAAAGGCCCAGTTGAGGGCCAGAAAACCGACGGGTCGCGGTCTCTCCCGAGCGGACCAACTAAGACCCTGAAAGGACTCTGAACACCTCAACCGGTGACTTCCTAAACATAGCCTCGCCACCCTCAGCAGGCGGCAAGGCCTAAGGGATCAATGCTTTAAATTCCACCGCCGGAAATGGCGGCACGTCGACAATAACTTCCGCAAGGGTGTTCACGTGACGGTCATCAATATATAATCTGGCTGTCGCCTGATGATGCCGGTTGTAATTACTGGCGAAACGTCGTACTCAGATTGTAAATGTTGTGGCTTGGCTCTCCAACACACCGGTGCACTGTACTAGTGACGAATTGGCCACGTTCTGTTTACGTGACAAACCCTTACTAGTTGGCTGTGTCGGGCGGTGGCGGGTTTAACGACACATTTATATATTCAAGCGAATAATATTGGTCGCGAAATCCCACTACGTGTTAAACTGTTTGTGTACTCGTGTACATGTGAGCCCCCGAATGAGGAACGGCCATCACCATCTCGACCAGCAGCCACTCGCCCGGCCAGTGGCTGGCCGGTCGATGTTTGGTGACATCGATAGCCGCCGGACACAACGGGAACGCTCAAAACAATTTACGAGGCCAGAGAAAGAGACGCGAGGAATGGCCGTCGGTGCGAGACGCGTTCCTGACATGCGACCCTAAAGAGCCGGGGCTAATTCCACCGAGTCCGATGGGAAATGAGACTGGAGCCAAGAATCACGCTCCGTCTCAAAAGGACAGGAACGGACAGCCACTAATTGCTTCACAAACAATTATGGGCAAATTTCCAAAGGGCCGACACAGACCGGCAGTCACGCACATTGGATTACCGATACCGGTTCATAACCTCGACACCGCGGCCACGTTGGTACTTTCGGAAGGCCAACCGGCCCAGCTACGAGAAAGATACCGAAGCCCAATTGAACCAAAGCTCTGAAAACTTCGATAGATTAATCAAATTTACGACAACTACTGCGAAAGTCTGAATCACGGCATGCCATCAAACCACGAGGGAAGGGTTAAATCGTTATGGGCTAATGACGACGACGATGAAGCTGGGTTTTTTTTGTTCCCCCCCCGTGTGTGAGAAGACGTTTTTTGTTTTCCCATTCCCCCAGCGATTCGGTACAGAACTTCCTGAGCTCGTTGCACGCGTTGCCGCAGGATCTTCACAACTTGGCCGTGGATCCACTGTACAGGCAAGTGTCCGCTGCGGTTCTCGGCAACACTCCGCTGGCTACTTTTACGCTCTATAACCGAACCGTGCCCCGCCGGGGTCATGCCGACACAGTCCGCCACCGCACCCTAACGGAGAGAGGGGGCCCACTGCGGAGACCGCACCGCAAGTCACCCCGTGGAACGTTGATCGCTCCCTGGCCGAGACGTCGCTTGACAATCCATGGGGTTATCAAAATGGGTTTCGCTTTTTACCCGAGGCTTGTCTAAAAAACATTGCCTATAGCCCGTCGGTCTCCCTTGAGAGACCCCTGTGAAAGCAGATCAAACTCGCTGTACGGGACACCTGGGCTACCACGCTCTGACACCCAGGATTGGTGTGTTCCCCTGTCAACCGCTTTGCCTCCTTGTCCTTACAATTGCCCTCGGTAATTGTTGTGGAAGTGGCATCCATGCTGGTAGTGCCAGCGGAGTGGTCCCCCAGGTGACCGATGAATTGGCGGTCACACTTTGGTGAATTTTAGGCCGGTGCATAGCTGCCCGTGTTGTTGGGGGAGAAATGCATACAGTATAATCCTGAGCTTTGCAATGCGGTGAAGGTTCCTCTCAAGCTGTGAGCGACTGTAATTAACTATCGCTCACCGTTGTGTGAGCTCTCGCTATTGTGCTCTTGAGAACGTCCACTGGGTGGTCTGTGTGCGAGTGCTGTGGGTCACGGCACCTGGCCGAGTAGTTATCAATGTGCGCATTTGAGTGAAGGCTCACGGAGACCAAATTGAATCTACACGTATGTTGGACCTTATTCGCACCGTACTGGAGCCAGCTGTGCCAATCGGAGGCGCAGCGGGAAAGGACAATCGGTGCACTACCAGGTATTGGTAGCGTAGCGGTTAGCGCGCTGCACTACGAACCCAGCGACCCGAGTTCGATTCCCGCTCACGGCCAACACCGGTGACGATTATCTCAACCGGTCAAGGGCCTCCCCTAGGTCGACTCAGCCTCAAATGAGTACCCGGTGCGGTGTGTAGTAAACATCGCCACTGGGGCGAAACAAAGGCGGTTTGGGGCGATGCGTTGCCCGCCCACCCCTTTCGTGTGCCGTGCCGGCCTTCACGGGTGCTGCTCGCTAACAGCACTTGCCCCAAAAGTCTGTCAAGCCTACACGGGGTGTGGCGTGGGGTAATCTTTGTCTTTGTGTGTGTGTGCGCGTGCTTCTTCCTGGGGGGGGGGGGGCGGGGGTCGGGGGGGACAGGAGGGCGTCGGGCCGCGAGCCCATGAAGCGGCAGACCAGCGCGCAGAAGGGGGCCAACCTGTCTCCCCAGGCAATCCGCCACCTGTGGGTGCGCACGGCGCTCTTCGAGAAGGTGCTCGACAAGGTGGTGCTGTACCTCGTCGAGAACGCCAGGTACGCCACCACCGCCACAGCCACCGGCACCGCCACCGCTCGCTGTGCTGAGAAACGCCGGCCGATTTCAAAATTTGAAGAAAACATAAAACCGCAACGGAATCCCGCCGCTGTCGAGAAATAGTGCGGCGCCCAAGAATACAAAACGCGCCGCAGGTAGCCTCGAAGGGCTTGGGTGAGGTGGTGGGGGGGGGGTCTGCCAATTCGCTGCAATGCTTTCATCCGAAATACGTGAAAAACAATCAAAGATAGAACAACCGGTTCTCGCTTAAAAATTTAGTTTTGCTGCTTAACGCTCAACCAAAGGAAAACAACCACAATGTTATATTTTGAACGGTTTCTGAATGACACCAGGCTCAAACATGTTCATGGGGCACTTAAAATCGAGATTTTGGCGCCTTTAAATGAAAAAAATCTCGGATTTTCAGATCTTTCCTGTTGTTTGTGGCCTAAAAGCTACCGATGTAGCACATTTCGGATTTCTATCTTGTCGGGAAGTACCCTCGAGGTTGCTGAGACATACAGATTAAGGTCTTCATTCATAGCAAGGGCGTAATTATAATATATATTGGGACACATCCCCCCCAATATTCAAATATGCTCAAAATGTCCCCCCCCCCCAATATATTGCTAGAAAAAATAATTGCTATGCTATGTAAATAAAAACAACGATTTGCTAAACCTTGGCCACAATATCTGGACTTGTCTTCAAATAAATCAATGCATAGATTTCTGTTTACATGATTGTGGTTATGGTAGTACTTTATTAATCCATAATCTCTGCCATTACATACAATGAAACAAGAAATGGTAAAAAAGTAAAAACAGAGCAATGTAAATACAATACCACTGTTAGACATTATTGTAAAAAATAAACAAAAAGTCCATCCCATGTGTTAGTGATTTTTTTCTTCATATTTTAAGCAGGAAATGAGTTTTCAAATGTAGATATTTTTCTGATTTGGGACCCCCAGACACCCTGAAAGATTTGGTCCCCCCCAATGTTGACTCCATGGCTACGGCCTTGATATATAGATACCCTATAAACCATGCCGGACGAAAGAGGAATATAACGAGGCCAAATAGAATTGATGCGTCATTGGAATGACATTAGTCGGAATTGGAGCACGCGTTGGATTGATTTAGAATCACAATATTGAATTCATACTGGAGGAATCTGCTGAGCTACAAAGTTCTTATAACCTCCCAAGGATAGTCACTGTGTTCATATTCTATGCACAGACGTACCGTTTTTGTCTATACACTGGTTGCTGCTGCTGATGATGATGGTGACGCTGCTTTTTCATTAACCCGAGCTGCTGACACCATAATTCCACCCTTTCAATTGTTTTTCGGAATATTTATTGAATTTTACAAATGAAGTAATTATGAAAAAGTAATCAGCGGGGTGCATGTTAAGTAATGGTAATCTTATAACGTGGAGTAATAATGCAACATTTCCCATATATCCGTCTTCAGTCATTTTAATTAAGAGTCACATGCTTTGAGATACTCTTGTATTAGAGTTCCTAAAATAATTAAATACGGTAGTTATCCTGAGATCCTTAAACAGTGCGTTTAATGACCAACTTCGCTCGGCAGGCACGTGCTAATGAATCAATTAAGGTCTCATTTCATGCTCACAACACACGAGTTGAATTGTCTAAGAATCAATTATTCATGATTGATGTAAATGATAACCGTGCGCGAATGTTACATTTGCGCCCATGCCATGAATGTGTGTGGACGCCGAATATTATCGAACCTGTAACGGAATTCACAAGCGTAGGGCGTTGAATGGTGGTGTCTTTATATATTTCTGCGTTGAACTTCTTTCGCACGCTAAGTAGCCAACGGTGCTAATCGGAGGTGCGGGGGAAGGGCTACACAAAAAGCAGTTCTAAAGAAGTGAGTTTTCAATCTAGATTTAAAAAGTGCATAGCTCCGGTGGCTTCCTAATATCGGAAGGAAGAGCGTTCCAGACGGCCGCAGAGGCGCATCTGAGAGCCTGCGTTGCGGTGACCGTCTTTGTTCAATGGCCAGCCGAAAGCCGCTGCGAGGATGACCGGAGTTCACGTGATGGTTTATGCTCATTGGTGAGATTAGCGAGGTGTTGTGGTCCATTTGTGGCAAGCGCTTTGTGTTGCATTGGCCATGCTGGCCACAAGTGAGCGTAGACTTTATCTGCAGTGGGCGTTGTTTTGCTCGGAGCGTATAAGCACTGCCCCCCTGTAACGCCGAGTGCTGTTGTGTTTAACAGCGTCTACTACGAGAAGGACGCCCTGCTCGCAGACCCCGTGGAAGGACAGCTGCTGGCCTCCTTGTTGGGTGAACAGCTCCCTTACGTTCGACGCATCACAGCGCCAGCACAGCTCCATCACCAAACGCATATGTGTGCCCTTGCATGAGACCGCATGCGTGCGTGTGAACACACACACGCACGCACACCTCTTTTCGTGGTGCTTGTGCATGCATGTGCATTATTGTGCGTGGATATGTGTGGTGGGTGGCGCCTGTCTGTACGCGCGCGCGCGCCTGTGTGTGTGCGTGTGTGCACTCGCGCGCACGCAGTGGGTCCGTGTGCGCTGGAGTACACGCGCATGAAGACTGCAGACCACTACTGGACGGATCCCTCCGCCCAGGAGCTCGTGCAGCGACACCGCATCCACAGCCCTCGCGGTGGCCGGGCCGAGTCGCCCTCCAAGCGTCCAACGCTGCACGTGAGACTCGCACAAAGACAACGACACCCCCCCCGCGCGGGCCGAGACAGGCCGTTAGCGAGTACCCTATGGTGGACGGCACAGTAGACCGCGAGGGGGTGGGTGGCCAACCCCGCGCCCGGCCGCCTTTGATCTACCTCGTGGGGATTTTTACTCACACAGCACCAGGTACCCATTTGAGGCTGAGTCGACCTAGGGGAGGCCCAGAACTGACTCGGATAATCGTCACTGATTGCTGTGCCGTGAGCGGGAATCGAACTCGGTTCGCCACGTTTGTAGCGCGGCGCGCTAAACGCTACACGACCACTCCCCACACACGCACACAACAGCAGCCACAGAGGTCCAGGCAGTACCGGTCCAGCTGCCGCCAGAGGAAATGGCAGCCTCTCCTCCGCAGTGAGCATTCGATTCATTCCACATGGCCAATTGTAGTGGTTTCCTGCTGTTTTGAGACGAACCCTGAGGGGAGGGGTACAGTCTCCTGGCGCCACCAGATGGGGTTTGGCCAGAACACTTCATAGATGCCGTGTCCCCCCACCCCCGGGGACCTCCGGCACCAGCTTATTTTAGTGTTTTCTCCATAGTTTTTATTAACCCCTCGCATGGAACATTTACCCGCACATGGAGAAATACACGCACATACCTATGCTCGAATCTTCTATCATTTGCCCTATCTCGTCAGATATCAGGAGCTAATCAGGGCTCAGTCTGGATACACAGCAGGTTTATCATTAACCAGCACAGACGTGTTGACAAACAACAACAACAACACGTGGTAGACCCAGGAAACCCATCGCAGGGCAAATTACTCAATTGTGAATTCACGTAGCGATTGGTGGCAGCCTAACTGCGAAAGCCTGGCAGGAACCCTCCTGAAAAGAACAAAAACGTCACGAGCCTCGGCGAGCCGTTCCCCCCCCCCGCCCCCGGGCGAACGAGCGTTCACGACCGTGATGCATCCCCGCTACTTGCGTACAGCGGGCGCGTGTGAAGCTGCGTTGAAGCCGCGTTTTCCCGCGTGCTCCGCGCCGCCCCAGATCAAGAAGCGTCAGTCGAGCGCGGGCAGCGTGTCGGAGGACCGCCCGGTGACGGCCGCCCGCGACTACGTGGAGTCGCTGCACCAAAGCGCTCGCAACGTCCTCCTCTACGGCAAGAACAACGTCCTCGTGCAGCCGGTACCGCACGCACGCAAGCACGCACGAAGGCGGGGCCGGCACGCTCGGCTCTGCCCGTTTGCTCCCGCGCGTACCCCCTGCGACTACGTTCCGCACGTGCGCGTGTGTACGTGCGGAGTGTGTGCGCTTGGCGCGTGCACGAGCACGTGCGCGCAGCGGTTTGCATAGCGGTCGGCGCGCTGCGCTTCGGATGCGGTGACCCGAGTTCGATTCCCGCTCACGGCCAGCAACGGTGACGATTATCTGAACCGCGTCCTAGGCTTCCCCTCGGTCCACTCAGCCTCAAATCAGTATCCGGTGCGGTGTGTAAAATTCACCACGAGGAAGAAAAAAGGCGGCCGGGTGTGGTGCTGGCGACCCACCCCATTGTGTGCCATGCCGGCCTTCATAGGTGCTCGAAAGCAGCACTTGCCCCATAAGTCTGTTGAAGCTATATGGGGGATCTTTGTCTCTATGTGGAGTGTGTGCGTTGGTTGGGTGGGGGGAAGCAGTGGTGTAGTGCTTAGCGCACTGTGCTATTGCAGGCCATGAATGACATAATTGGCCAGTGAAATTATAACCTGTCCTGGGCATCGCGTAGGTCAACTGTGTTAACATCAGCGCTCGAGAGACAAATGCAGCAAGGCACTGTTCTGACCACACCGCACCCTCATGCTGGCCTTAATTAGGTGCGAGCGCTTGCCCAGACAGCCTGTATAGGCTGTACATGGGATCTTTGTATTTGTGGATCAGTGTTGTCGGGATTAGTGCACTCTTACAATCCCAGCTCCGTGCTGGCTCGGTGCTCTGACACGGTATTTGTCCTAAGGGCCACCTGGACTGTTCTGGCAGTGGTTGTGTTTGACCTTTAGTCGAGTTTGTGACTATTGCTGTTATTGCGGTGGTGGTGGTTGTTGTTGCGGTGGTTGTGATTGTGGTTGTTGTTGTGGTGGTGGTTGTGTTTGACCTTTAGTCGAGTTTGTGACTATTGCTGTTATTGTGGTGGTGGTTGTTGTTGTTGCGGTGGTTGTTGTTGTGGTGGTGGTGGTGGTTGTGTTTGACCTTTAGTCTAGTTTGTGACTATTGCTGTTGCGGTGGTGGTTGTTGTTGTTGCAGTGGTTGTGGTTGTTGTTGTGGTGGTGGTGATTGTGTTTGACCTTTAGTCGAGTTTGTGACTATTGCTGTTATTGCAGTGGTGGTTGTTATTGTGGTTGTTGTGGTTGTTGTTGTGGTTGTGCTTTCAGCGTGGGGACGTGGAGCCCGTGCCGGGATACCTGTCCCTGCACCAGGCCGGCGAGCGTCTCACCCTCAAGTGGACCCCCAATCAGCTGATGAACGGCAGCAGCCCTGACCCCGAACACGAGAAAAAGTAGGGCCCAGTAGCGCGGGCGCCTTCACCGTGGCTGTCTGCCCCCCCCCCCTCCTCCTCCCCCCAACTGCTCTCACTGGCAGGCAATAGCAGTGTCTCACTAACACACGTTTCGATTTTGTTTTAACTCGTTATTATAATACTGTCACATTAACAAACAAAACATTCTCACATGGAACTCTCACAGACAGTGGTGTAACGTCGTATCATGTCAGAGGGCGGGCACGATGGAAATCCCTTCAGTCGCCTCTTCATCCACACTTGGCAGCGTTCCTTCTCACGTGGTCCGCTTAGAGCGGCCTTCATCGCACACACATCAAAACTGGACACGCGTACCTTCAAGCTGCAGATTTAATACTCGTAGGCCTTCGCGACCAATATCACCCCCCAAAAAATAAAATATCTATTTCGCAGATCAAACACGATGGATTGTTTCGTGTTTTTCGGCGGCCAGCCCCTTTTACGCCTGGGATAAGACCATTGAGGAGCCACTCCGCCTGACAGCACGGGATGAATGCGTGGCTGAAACGCGGCGTTAAACCCAGGGTCCCAGTTTAAACCGCCAGCTGTGCTCGCCAGCTATGCTGTGCAGGATGGGGGGGGGGGGGAGGGGGGGTCGCGTAGATTTTGTGAAACTCCCTCACTCGCCGGGTGGGCTGCAAGGTGGCCGGAAATTTGCAGCACAGACAGTGGGTTCACGAGCACATCTGTGAGAACCTTTGATGCCAGCGGTCCTGTGGCTAGGTGCTGAAGCAGCGTTTAGTCCTCTTGAGCCTCCCGGCCACCTACCATGTTTGGCGCTGTTTGGAAGTTGGTAGTTTAGTCGTTCAGTTCAGTTCCATTTATTTTGGTATAGCCCTGTGAGCCATTCGGCTCTTGAATCGGGTGCAACCGCAACAAACAAAAAACAAAAACGTGAACAAGAAAACATCTTAAAGTGACTATGTGACTGTGCAAACAGAAAATCCAGGAAAAAAAAACAGCAAAATATTCCTGAAAAAGCACCGTACACCAACGCTGTGTGCAAAAATCCCAGTGGGATGAAAGTCAAACAACAACAACCACAAGACAACTTAGATTAAGGCCATCGGTCTAACTCCTTACTACAACAAACAAAAACGTGGCCAAACCAAAAAACGTTTTCGAAATCACCAAAATAAAGCCATAAATGCAATGTAACAGTGAGCATAGGGACTGTGACCAAATTTTTAACAATAAACTAAATAAATAACATGTAACACCAAACCCTAGAGCCATAGCTGGCTGCATGAGTCACTCCACAAACAACAGGAGCATCAGTCGGAGTATCACATTTTTTCAATGCACCTTTAAGATCAGCACACTAAATCATTAATGGTACTGTTTAACACTTGTCATTTTGTGGATTTCTTGTGATTGCCGGCGCTGCGACTACATAATGTCGTTTATGATTACTTTGCCTGTATTTACGATAATTTATTCATACAATGTTTACCCGTACCTGGCAAAGAGTTGCATGTCCTTGCAGCGACATCGGAGGGTTGTCGCAGATTACGTGTTCAGTGCTGTGTGGTGCTGTCAGTGGCAGCAGTTGTGGTGGTAGCATTGGTGGTGACAGGAGTGGTGACGTTCATGATTACGGTGTGAGTGTTCATGTGTTGGGCGTGGTGGCATAATGGTCGTAGAAACACCGCTGTCATGGTATACTTAGGGACAGTGGTATTCATAACGGTGGTGGTACAGCAGTTATGTGGTCGTTGGTGGTGACGTTTGTGGTGGTGGTGGTGGTGGTTCATTGACGGTGCTGGTGTTGGTTGTATGGCAGATGTATATATTTTGATGGTGCAATGGTGGTGGTGATGATACGATGACGATAGTGGTCATGACCATATGATGATGATGGTGGTGGTGGTGATCGTGTAATGGTGATATGCTGGTGTGCTCTGTTGCTGTGAATGTGCGCTCATGGCTATCATGGTCATGTGGTGGTGCGCTCTGCCCAGCGTGTTGTGGGACTACGCCATCACCGTTCACCTGGAGCACATCGTCTACATCCACTGCCACCAACAGCGTGAGTCCCACCGGCCGAGGCCTCTGCCCAAGCAGTGGCCGTACAGGTCACGTCAGAGTCAGAATCTTTATTTATACTGGAGGAACCCCGATGGGCTATAAAGCTCTTTTTCACAGATGTTCAGTAGGGTCAGGTCAGAACGTTGCAACAACAAAGAACACACAAGCGCAATTTAAGTGCAAAGTATAGGAAAGGCAAACAAAATACTTAAAATAATATATGCAAATAAAACTTTAAATACTTTTGTTTATCTTACCGGGTAAAATCCACTCGGCTATGAGCTTCCCTTTCAGAAGCGACCTGGCCACAAATGACAGCTCAACACGTGGAAAATGTATAGCTGCCAATAAATAATATATAGACGCATGTTTCTCATTTGTGTGGAGGGGAAAAAACCGGAGGACCCGGAGGAAAAAAAAATCCACGCGACCACGTGGAGAGAGAGAGAGAGAGAGCACGCTTGCCACGGTGGTGGTGCCACCGTTAAACCAGATTGAAGCCAAAGTCTACGCGGGTTTGGTGGATCCTGCCGATCTGTGAAATCCGCCAACCCGCTGGACTGCGCGCGGTGGCCAGAAGGTGGAAAGCGCGCCACGTGGGCTCAATAACTCATCTGCGTGGACGCTTTTGAGTGTTCCAAATACACACGTGGGATTTCTCTAACCGCCGTGGTTACCTAACACGTGCACGGCACCGCATTGGGTGTTTGTCGCGCGTCCTAATGTAGGGGTATTGAGGGGGTCACCGAGCCTCTCCTGAATAAATAATGTGAATGTGTGCCAATGTGTGTGTGTTTAAGAACTGGAGAGCAACATCGCAGCGCTTCACACAATCCCATCCAACCGAGGTTCAATGCCTATCCATGTACAGCATCGAAATCCGGTGAAATTCTAACCCATCCTGGTCCTAACCTTGGCCAACTCAACCTGAAATGAGTGCCAGGCGTGCCTCGTTAAAATCAAAAGCAGCTGGGTGCGGTGCTGGCACCACCACCACCAACTCCGTGCACCATTCCGGCCTTAATAGGTGCTCGCTAACAGCCTCGACGGTCTCTAAGACTTGCGTGGGGGTGACGGGGGGGGGTGGGGCGTTGTGTCGGTGCAGCGGAGAGCGGAGGCACCCTGGTGCTGGTGAGCCAGGATGGCATCCAGCGACCTCCCATCCACTTCCCCCGCGGGGGGCACCTCCTCTCCTTCCTGTCGTGCCTGGAGAGCGGCTTGGCCCCACGCGGGCAACTCGACCCTCCCCTGTGTACACACATGAGCACGGTACCCACACACACACACAGCACGGTTACCCACACACACACACACAGCACGGTTACCCACACACACACACACACAGCATGGTACCCACACACACACAGCACGGTTACCCACACACACACAGCACGGATACCCACACACACACACAGCACGGTTACCCACACACACACACAGCACGGTTACCCACACACACACACACAGCACGGTTACCCACACACACACACACAGCACGGTTACCCACACACACACACAGCACGGTACCCACACACACACAGCACGGTTACCCACACACACACACAGCACGGTACCCACACACACACAGCACGGTTACCCACACACACACAGCACGGTTACACACACACACAGCACGGTTACCCACACACAGCACGGTTACCCACACACAGCACGGTTACCCACATACACACAGCACGGTTACCCACACACACAGCACGGTTACCCACACACACACAGCACGGTTACCCACACACACACACACAGCACGGTTACCCACACACACACAGCACGGTTACCCACACACACACACAGCACGGTTACCCACACACACACACAGCACGGTTACCCACACACACAGCACGGTTACCCACACACACACAGCACGGTTACCCACACACAGCACGGTTACCCACACACACAGCACGGTTACACACACACAGCACGGTTACCCACATACACACAGCACGGTTACCCACACACACACAGCACGGTTACACACACACACAGCACGGTTACCCACACACACACTGCACGGCTACCCACATACACACAGCACGGTTACTCACACACACAGCACGGTTACACACACACACAGCACGGTTACACACACACAGCACGGTTACCCACATACACACAGCACGGTTACCCACATACACACAGCACGGTTACCCACATACACACAGCACGGTTACCCACACACACACACACAGCACGGTTACCCACACACACACACAGCACGGTTACCCACACACACACAGCACGGTTACCCACACACACACACAGCACGGTACCTATACACACACAGCACGGTTACCCACACACACACAGCACGGTTACCCACACACAGCACGGTCACCCACACACACACACACAGCACGGTTACCCACACACACACACAGCACGGTTATCCACACACACACACACAGTACTGTTACCCACACACACACAGCACGGTACCTATACACACACAGCACGGTTACCCACACACACACAGCACGGTTACACACACCTACTCACAGCACGGTTACACACACCTACTCACAGCACGGTACCTATACACGAACGCACACAGCATGATACGCACACCGGACAGTACATACATACAGCAGAACCCAATTACATGTTTGTGCAGTCATTGGTGACCGGACCATCGACTCGCTGCACTTGAGAACCCGGTTCCATCACAGGCACCCGGTTTCATCACGGGCGGCCGCCTGGATTCGAGACCCAGAATGTCGTCGGCGCCAGCTCGGCGCTTTGATATCCGAGCCCGCTCCGAGCCATCTGCGATGTCGAGGACGACGAATTCTCCCGTTCGGCGCGTGGCTCCCACCCCCGCGTCTCTCGCCCTCGTCCCAGGGCGCCGTGTTCCCGCCGCTGCGCAAGCGGCTCGGCAGGTCACACGCGAGCGAGGAGGACCCCTCGCCGTGCCCCCTCGACGGTGCCGCCGTGGCCGCGGGGGTCGCTTCCCACGACGGGGTCCCCGGCCACGGGGACAACGGGGCCCTCGCGCCCACGCTCGCCGACGACGGCGGCGGCGGAGGAGGAGGAGGTGGGGAAGAGGATGAGGGGGCCGACGGCAACGTGGAGGACGAGGCGGGGTCGGCCGGCACCGACTACGTGTTCCGCATCATTTACCCCGGATACCGCAACGACTTCAGTAAGACGCGTCGCATCCCGGGCACGCGGCCCCCGGGACGAGCGAGATTTGACCCGATGACCCCGTACGGGTGACGCCACTGGTACGGATTCACCCTCACTTGGCAGACTGGGGGTGTGGGCAAACAATAGGGTTTAGCACCGCCCCCCCCCACCCCCCCCCCCCCCACAACATGAAATCGCAGAGCACAGGGAGTATGTATTTTGTGTGTATTTTGTTTACACGTAAATCACACTATTAGTATATTCAAATCTTCTTTCTGTGTAAGCGCTTGACATTAAATATAATGTACTCCACACGATAGTACCTAACATACACGGCATATAGCTCGGTGGAGTGATGCTGTAGCCGAGGGGGTAGATAACTCGGGGGGGGGGGGGGGGGCCGACACCACGTATGAGACTCGCATAAATTGAAATAATTTGAGCCGATTTAAATTGTCAAATCCGTTTTTTTTCATTGCCTTCCAAAAGGCATTATCTGTTCCGAATCGGTGATACAAACCCAAAACGTTAATGTATTTTATTTTGTTAAATGTTCCATTGCCTTAAAAAAGGTAATAATTGTTCCGAGTAGGCGATGCAAACCCACATCGTCAATGTATGTAACACATCCGCCTGCTGTCCTCTCGCCCAGCTACAGCGGCTCCCACTCACAAACCCATGCAGACTTCAGAATCAGACCATTTATTCACACTGCTGGAGGAATCCGATGAGCTATAAAGCTCTTTTTCACAGATGTCCAGCAGGGGCACGGGGTCAGAACGTTACAACAAAAACAAGCAATACATAAAACCACGCCGGGGGTTACAGCGCTGCGACACGCGCGATGTCACCCTGGCCGTGCCTCCGAGGCCCTACCCCATTTCGTTTTTTGCCCCGCCACTCCACCCCCCGCACCGCCGATTAGCACGGTTGGCCACGTACGGTGCGAAAGAAGTTCAACATGGGTACGCGTACGCACGTACGAAATGGTGGCGCCGCCCATTGGCCATCGGGGGTGAGGTTTTGGACATTTGAAATCGGAGCGCAATGTTCAATTCTTGATTGAAATGTTAAAAGTGTCTCGCCGTTTCCAACGAGCGTGGGACAGCGGTAATCTCCGTGGGTTGCCCCTTCAGCTCGAGTGGAGAGAATTCCCCACGGTGTTATAGCAGGGGCCTGTCCATCCCGAGAAAAAAAAAACACTTGTGATGTACACAAATGTGTTGCTTGTTTGTGATGATTGACCTCTAAAGGAATGGTGATGATGGGCTGCATTGACTTTCGACCAGGAATTGAACTCGCAACCTTACAGCCGTGGGGTGCGTGCTCTGACCCAGCACGATGCGGTTCTGGCAGAGGCACAGGTTGTAGCAGCGTTGTTGTTGTTGTTGTTGTGCCAAGGTGAACATGATGCGGCTTTATAGAAGTGCCAGAACCAATATCATCGTGCTGATCTCCGATGTGTTTTTTGGGGTTACACCGCACGTTATTTGGCACGAGACGCCTGACGTTCCGCCCCGCGTGCTGGGAGCTTCTCGAGGATCCGAAAAGCTCCGTTCGACTGGGGAATCCCGTTCCTGCAGAAGCTCCCCGGCGCGCGGTGCGAAACATCGGACACCACGCAGAGCAGTGCGCCGTGAAACTCGAGGGAGCGGCAGAGTAGCCGCCACGGAACGACCGAGCGCAAAGAAACCCTGCACAGTCGTGATATTAACGCGACGCAGGCTGCCCGGTCGTCGTTACTACTTTTTCTTGTTCGCTCGAAGTGTTTGCGGTCCTCCCAAAATGTCGTCCGGATACTTTTTGCTTTGCACAGCACAGACCACGACAATCTCCACAAACACCTCCATTCACGCTCGGCCGTGTGCAAATGGGGCTCACGAGATTGATGGACCCTTCACGGTTGTTAAGGGCCGTGTAAAGTGAATGTAATCTGCTTCAGTGCATAATCATATCTTCAACCCACCTGAAGGGCCAATCAACATTTGCCTCGGATATAAAGTCATGAATGTTTTTTTTTTCTCCCACTAGGACCCTGATTTTATTAGTATGCAGGACACACCATGACAAAGATAAAGGGACATTTTTTTTGCCATTATCAAAGTATGAAAAATAAAAATAGGTTTTACCCTTTGATCCTGGACAAAGAAAGGTTCCATTATATAGCTGCTCCCCCCCGAGCTATGAATGCTCTGATTACGTGTGACATTGACTTTGTACTGTTCGCCTTTTGGCGTTATTCTCTGGTCTAACAACTGGTGGTGATACTAGGCCATAATGAAGTCTGTCTCTGGTGTAGGCCAATCAATTTCAAAGACAATGTCCATAGATTATAATTATCAGATCACGTTTGTTTGTTTGCATGTTCACCACAAGTACTGTGTGTGGTTAATGCAGTTACTTGATTCCTAGCTAAAGGTTTCTGTTTGGTGTCTGAACATCTCAAAAACACCCGTTTTATTGCCAGAAAGGGGAAAACCTCTTCTTATTTTTCATACAAAAGATGAAAGGATCCAGCTTGCTGTACAATCTGCTTTCACATTGATTTGTGATTCGAGAAAAATAAATCGTGCCCATTAGGTTTGGCCATCTTTTGATAACAAATGTAACGTTTAGTGAAAGAGTAAAAAAAATAAAAAAATCTGCGCACTCATAACACACGTGACAATTGTCAACATACAGCAGCAGTAACGCCACATTTGGTCCCGTGCACATTTTGGAGCAACCGCTGTTAGCGAGTGACCTCTTGAGGTCAGCTTTGCTCACGAGGCGGGTCGTGTGGCCAGCAACTTGCTTAGTCGGCTCTGCCCTCTTAGTGCTGATGTTGACCACTCCGCAAGCGTGTGCTTATTTGAGGCCGAGCCGACCTAAGAGAGACCCGGGACAAGGTCAAATGTCATATGTCACCGACACTGGCGTAGCGTTGATGGCATGGACCCAGACGCGGGAGATGAACTTGGGCCCCAGGACCTGGGCCTCTCTTGTCCACGGTTCCTCGTCCATTTTGCAGCGCCATTTATCAAACTTGTGTTGATGGAATCATTGCAGAGTGCACTAACCCAAAGCGAGACCACTCCACACACACACGCGCGTGCACGCCTACACACAAACACGTGCACAGTCACGTACACACACACACGCATGCACGTGTTCCTTAAGGAAAACGGACAGGCCACGGTGTCGAGTGGGAAGGCTGGTATCCCGCCGGGCAGCCTTCCCGCAACCCGCCACAATCTTATTTGCAGTTTTAAATTCGTCTATTTTTTTGTGTTTCAGCAAGCGAGGGGAAGTTGAACTTTAATCAGAGCGTGCCACTGCACAGAGTCAAAAGCAGTGCTGGCTACGAGCACATCACCCACCTTATACGGCGAATCCCACCAGCGCAAGATGCATCACTGTGCGGTTCAATGCGTCATGCGTGCTGTGGGTAGCGCGGAAAAAATAACGATATTCTGTCACTCCTCCCGCATTCGCCAATCGACGTTGACCAATGTGGTGAGATACATTCAAATAACCCTCGTTGCCTAGATGGTGCGGGGGAGGCCCTCATCCAGCAGTGGATTGACGTATGGCCTCTACATGTACACACGCTGTGGCAAGTATCCAATTCATAATGGTGTTTTTGTTTAATGTTTTAATGAACTTTCGGGCCCTTTATTAATCCACTGCTGAATAAAGACTTTCCCAAGTCACGTCAGTCACGACCATACTTCGCCAGGCTGATCAACGTGGTTTGAAAGAAACGTTATCAAATTATATATCTGACTAAACTGAACTGTATGGACAAGTTAAAAATCCCATGAACTTAATGTTTCAGTGCATCCAAAGCAAACGAGTAGAGTGTCTTTTAAAAATATATCTTAGGTGAAGGAATAGCAGAACACCAACGTCTTATATGCCGTGTTCCCCTTTTACATTTCCACGATAACGATTTCAATTGGATTCAGAGATGTGTTCTGTTGTAGTGAAAAACAACGGGAGAGCTTCGTTACATCGCGTAGCGAATGAGCCGCGTGGCCAAAACCTCAGATCAAACGTCAATTTCCCCCCTGCTCCACATTTTAACCGAGTTTTGTTTGAAACTGTTATGTTTGATTTAATTCTACATCTGACCAGTGTCTCTCTCCTCTTTCCCTATCTCCATCCCCCCTGACCTCTGACCTTGACCCCTTCCACCTCCCCTCCCCCAAACAAAACACAGTCACCATTAACTACCACCACTTATCCAGCAGTTGCATGGGCTCCCAGGCGGAAAGTAGCGATGAGGATGATGAGGATCAGGATGATGATGTGGATGAGAAGGTGTCGGACAGTTGGGGGGCAGCACCAGCCGCTAGGCATGCTGGGAAGAGCGCCCAGGGGCGGCCTGTGCTGGCCAATCGGCTTCTGGCCGCCTTGCTCCCAACTTTGCTCTGGCCGTTCCGACCTGCCCAACACGTGACCCCTAACCCCAGTAACTACCCTTCCTTTTCAACTAAGTTATTTTTTTCGGTGTGCACTGAGCAAGCGTCCTTCTCCTTGGTTCGGTGTTTCGTTTTAATTTGTGTTATTTCTCATATCCTCGTGTCAAACGCAAAGTCGTGGAAGCCAAGTCTCTGTTCAGGGTGATCCTATGCCAGGGCCACAATTTGCTGCATCCAACTTTAAAGTGTTTTTTCATCTCTCTTGTCAAAAAGACATTTTCCAACTGAGAATTTCACACCGATATTTATATAGTCCCTGAACAATACAAACTTTAATTCACCTTCTATATGATATTCTCGGTTCTTTCGGTAAAGTCATGTAGAAGGGAAACAATAAAATGATAAAAATATAAAAGAACCAAGAATATGAATCCCTGCAGTCACGAAAGCTTTAAATCAAAATTCTATATGACAATTTAGTTAATGATATTTGAAAGAAGTGCTCAATCATAGTGATGTATCTTGGTAGTTTCCTTGATTGCCTCTTGTCAATGTGTCCACATAGAGCAACGTTGAGCTGAGCAGGACAGTTTGGAGTATTTTCTCCCTCTCTGTGAACTTCAATACGTTGCTTTAGCTTGGCTGTTAGAGCCTTTGGCATTTACACTGAATCTTAGAAACCCCAAACGTGCTGTGGCAAAGCTTATGATGCATCGACAGCTCTTAGACACCCTGGTTGTGAAAGTATTTGTTTTCATTGTTTGCTATCTATGTATGTTGAACTGCTTTTGCACCGCACGTAGGCAGTCGTGCGGGAAATTAGTTTCTTATTAAACTAATTAGTGGGCGTTGTATTATTATTATTCACACACTCGTGTTCGCGGGCGCATGCCCCCTATCTCCCTTGTGCCACGTCCAGCTGGCACTTAAAATGTTGGAAATTCTCCCCCGATTTTTCTATCGCCTAAATAGTGATCGTGTAAAAGCTACACGTGCGATTGATTTTAGTATCCGCGAGTCACGACGAGAGGTGAGGAGGCAATTTCCATCTGATATAAATCGAGGATACAGTTTTAGATGAACCCCAACCGGGTGTATCATTATCTTTAAATATTATTCATTGTTTTTAATTTGCCTTGTCACTTAGTCATTGCCACACATTTAGACTAGGAAATATATTATCGCATAAAATAGTTCAGTGCTCATAAACTGATGAACATTAGATCATGAGATGAGTTCTCCTATAATCCTCAGTTGGCTCAGCGTATGAATTTCGATACATATTCCTGTCCACGTGGCATTCGTTAGTTTGAAATGTCAGGTTTTATATCTCTTGCAGGGCTTTGATTTTGCCAGCAACAACAACCGAAGTCGATTTTTCAAATATATATGTATATAATCTTCTCGCACCTTTTAGAAGAACCTATGAATTGATACTGTAATTTAAAAGGTGTGATTATTTTTTTGTGGAATGTCAAGACATTTATTTAACCTGATCATTTAAAGTTGGATGGCACGGCGTCTCAAAAGGACGGTGTATTAAGCATGCCTCTGCGACATGTCCACGATGCAGGCCCTGCACATTAAACACAACCCCCAGTCATTTATAACTCATACGAACCACGTATGTAGGCAACGTTCCCAACAATACGACGTGAAATACTCTGCGCATGCCTTGCCCTGCATGGTGCATCGTATCTGGATCGCTATGCAGGCACCTGCATAATCCGCGCTGTTCAATACACCAGGCCTTTAATGTTCATTGCACCTTGGAACAGAGCAATGGTTTATTGCAATGGTCTTCCGACAGGTTCGTTTGAACCCTTCCACCTGTGAGAGCAGTAAAAATTCCCAACGCTGGGAGGCGTAACCCCGTGCGCGCTTCTAACACTGGAATTGCCCAACGGAGAAATATACCAGAGTGCACTCGCTGTGCGATCTGATCTCGAGTATTTTGAGTTCAAATTTCGTGCCGATTTCATCTCGCATTGAATGCCATGATATCCACGAAGGCAGTGCGTGTGACAGAACAGTGCCAGGTTCCCCGCCCGCATCGTGAGAATAATGTGCATTGCGTTGGGCCAAAGTTTGAATGTGCCGCCCAGGTGAATCTGTGGCACCTTCCGTAAAAGCCGAATTGCTCCGAGAGACGCGGTGAGAGACAGACTCTCTTTGCGACAACATTCTCACGCAAATGGGCACATTATTCTCTCGCTTAATTTCGGTAACATATGCATGAAGACCGAAGCGGGGAAACAACCCCCCACTGTGTCGACAGCACCACCAGCAGCAACATTTGCCCATGAGATGCGAGCGAGTCGCAGGTGAAAGGGGGGGTCCGTTTTTTTTGTCGCTGCTGCAAAACTCTGACAAAACTCGCGGCTGCGCGTGTCCCTCCGCTTGCAGCTGTTGCAGGCAGGCAATTTTGACGCATCGCTCTGCAGTCTGCCAATGCACAACCCTCCCTCCACCCCACGTGTGTTCCCTGTGCTGTTGCTGTTGCTGCTTCAGTCGACAGCGTCTGACTGGACCATTCCATTTCAAGTTTCGATACAGATGAAAGCTGACCCTTCTCCTGAGTCACAAACAGAGAAGTCCTCCTACGTTAGACTCATTTGGTCATCGCCTTCCTTTAACGTTTCTGCATTCAAAAATATATATTTATCAACCTATTGCCAAAAGCTAGGTTTTTTGCCATCAGGATATTATTAATTTGTATTATTCGCGTACTAAATCGAGGGGTATATTGTGATATACATCTACAGGAACGTGTTCCTACCAAGGCAGTTACGTGTAGCGGCTCTTGCAGATTCTCTCGTTCAAAAAAAGAACAACGTACGCCACGTGGAAAGGTGCTAATCTTAAAATGTTTACGCTCCTCAAGTCCCGGAGTAGAGGCGCCTATGTTATTACACGACCACTCTGTCACACCTTCATGTGACCCCATTCCCCCTCTGCCGGTGCTTCCATTAATCCGAGGAAGCACCGTGGTGCAGGCTGTCCCCCACACAGCGATGTAGCTCAGTGTGACTGGTTGTAATTAAGGTGGAATCGATGAGCCGTCACAGCCCCAGTAATTGGTCAATTCGCATTCTCTCCGTTGGTACGTAAACGTGGGAGAGACGAGCGACAGTGCCCCGCGCCGTCCGTTGATTTGTAAACCGAAGGCGCTGCAGATATGAATATCTGAGGGGTAGTTGGCTCAACGCATGAAATGATCAACTATTTAAATATATAGAGAGAAAAATACACAAACGTTTACATTTTTGATACAGTTCAGATATTGTATACAGAAGAGTGGAGTCTCAGTAGCTGACGAATATGACAAAGGTAAACAAGAAAATTGGACAGCTTTTCATTTTGCATTGCGTCTTCGAACAATGCACCACTCCAAAATTCAGCTGACCAACTCGTGGCTTTACCAACAGCGCTTTGTTTTCATCGTTATAGCATTTCAGGTTTTGTTTTTAAGCTAAAACAACAAAAATTAGCCCCACCCATTGCATGCATTTTAAAATGAAACACAACATTGCAACAGAGCGGATCGTTTCAGGACGGACACGTGTGCACGCGTGTATATTTGACTCAGAACGAGCGGCTGACATCGAATCCGCCATCCCTTCCCCCCGGTTTTTTTGTTTTTTTTTTGCGCAGCTATCGTTGTTCCTCAATTCGAGGTGCGCGCACTGAGGTTGTGCGAGCTAAACTTGGCACGCGTTGCTCCCCCTCGCCCCCAACTGCGCGGTCGGTTTGCGATTTTGAATTGACAAGCGACGTAGACGCCTTTGTTTTGCGTTGTGCGCAAAACACCGGATGGGTGGCAAGCTATTCCCGACTCTTCTTCATTCGCTGGGCTTCACTTTTTTTGTACAATCGCGAGTCGACATTTAAAACCCTGAGGCTTGATGTAACTAGTGTTTCTATATATATGCATCCTGTTGTGTCTGCAAACTGCCCTGCACGTGTTCATGAAATGTATTCAGTGCATCGCTGCCTTTGGCGATGAAGGTGCCGGGGTTGTGCTTCAGACACAAACGTTCTGGATTATTTTTTATTGCTCTACAACCCCCAACTGTTGATAACGGTGAAAATGTATAGTCATCTTGGCTTGCTTAAGAAAACTGTGAGTCTCTTCGTTGGAGGAACTTGATTTGGGGAATTAATTGGCCAGTTTCATTAATGGGGTTTGGCACGTGGGGAGAAACCTGGGGCACTCGAATAAAAGCCACACACACGAGGGGATAACGCTCAGAAGCTCCGCACAGATTGATTTTTATTTAATCCATTGCTCTGCTGCCTTCTCCCGGCCGCCTGGCAGTATGTATCATAACTTGTCGTTGTGTGGGAGGATTTTTTGTAGTTTTGGTTAAAGCATGCTTCCAAAACGTCTATTTCTAATTTTATGTAAACTGAGATGACACGATATATATATATGGAGTTGTCTCTACTCGTGGCCACACAAGCAGATATACGCTAGCCATCTCGGATCTGCCTGCATTGATAAACAGCAGTAACCAGCAACATAACAAGGCAGCTCAGAGCTTGGGCCATTTTTAGGTTTTTATACTGTATTTATATTTTTAATTGCATGGAAAATACGTTTCTAGTATTTGGGCTCCGTATGGTGTGAAGAAAGTTCAACATACGTACATAACAGAGCATCCTACTTTTAAGATAGTTTGTTTATTTTTGGAGGACAGCCGATAACCGAGACAGGCATTGACATCGTCTCCACCAGTTTGGTGACCCAAGGGGAAAGGAAGACCCTACTACGATACCATTTGGTGTTAGACTTCCAGGGCAGCCTTAGGTGTCACGTGTCTACTGGGCAGCAGCTGCCGGGTCTTAGAGAGAGGGTAAGGGAAAGGCATTGGCGAGGTCTCGTGGGATCAACAGTGTTGGCCATTGTGCAACCTTGATTGTTCAAACGCAACCCTTACACTAACAGCAATGCGGTGTCCTTATGAAGGGAATTTCCCCACACACAGTGCCCCCCCCCCCCCCCGTCTGTTTCAGCCAACCAAGGTTGCTGCGGTCCTCAATTCCCTTTACCCGTTGGTACATTTCCAAACAAACCCCTGTCAGTCGGTTACATCAAGCCTGCAGTCGTTTTGAAAGTCTCTGCAACTTGCCGCTCGGAACGTGGGCAAAGATCGGCGTTTTGCTCCTCCGTACGAAGCGTGCGCCAACACGCGCCCCCGCTCCGCCCCCCCCCCCCCCTACCACCCCACTCCCCACCTGCCTGTCGCCTTTCAAATCATCGTCTCTCATTTCCCAAAATTCCTTTCCAAGCTGGGATAGGGATCTTGCGATCGCTGCTCGTCAACAGGGCAGGGTAGTCCTGCGGGTGGCGGCGGCGGCGGGGGATGACCGCGTTTCCGTAAGAGGGTGACAAGCAACACCCACTGCCACCGACCCCCCCCCCCCCAACCCCCCAAACTTCTAAGATCAACTGCCACTCCAAGTTGACAAACGACACAGCAGCCAACGAGGCCCAAATGTAATCTGAAAAAGCTGTTCTTATTTTAATGCAGGTGATAATTTAAGAGGATGAACGTCAACTCGTAATGCGCCGCACGGCACTCGCTCGCACTCTCGTGGGGGGAGAGGGAGAGAGAGACAACGACTTGGTATGCGCGAGGAACCACAGGCCAAGCGGAAGGCAACCGCGCGATGAGCCGTTGCCCACAATTGCCCAAGTTCTGCGGTCCTCTCTATATTAAAGAGTTATCGGCCAAAAATACAGCACGTGTGCAACGTTACTGCAAAGGTTCCCGTGTTTGATTCTCCTAAAAAAAAATAAAAAAAACTGTTTGCTAATTAACACTGTCAAAGAGCCCTGTGGGTGCGTTCTAGGGTTGTGCCGTGCGTGGCTCGGTACGATGCCTGGCGTTTCAACTCGCAAAGAAGCGCCCAGCCCGGGGAGTAAAAGTTCGGGTCGTCGCGCCGAATAACGCGCGGTTACAGCCCGAAAACACATCAGCATTGTGTGGCACAACAGCGAAAATCTACGCAACAACGTCAAATCCTTATTTGAGACCTTAGTTGCACGCGCGCAATGAACGTGAGTGTTCCGCGAGCGAGCCCTTTTGCGTACAGCGCTCAATATTTTCAATATTTGATATCCAACTTTTTTTTTTAATTTCGACAAGCGTAACTTGAGCAGAAACGATCACCATGCTCATTGTTCATGCAGTTATATGCCGGACAAAATCTCTCCACCACCCCCCCCCCCCCCCCCCCCCCCCCCCCCCCCGTCCTCATTTTGAAGTTCCCATCGACGTGCTCCTGAGTGCCAACAATGAGCGGCAGCACAGTTGGAGTCATGCTCTCTCTCTTAGTCATGATTATGCCACCACCCCCCCCCCCCCCTCTCACAACATTGTACCAATTAACCTATCCGATGGCGTTCTCTCCCACGGCTAGGCACCGATAACCTAATGTGTGTCTAACGTAGGCCGACAACTTTTAAATAGGTCCGACACTCGTCAGATGTATTTTTTCTTAGCACACATCAGTATTTACGCACGACAGCTCCGCTTAGCCTTAGCAGGCAACCCCCTTTGCTTGTCGCCGCAGGGGCAGAAGGGCCAGAAGCCGAATTTGACGCAAGGGGGTGACCGCAAATGCAAACGCCGTTGCGCGGGAGGACGCTTCTCTGGGCCTCGTGCTGCGAAGACGCTCCTGCCATCGTTGGCATGATTATAGTGGGGAGCTCATTGTTGACACGGCCTTGGGGTGGCGGGGGGCCCTCAGAGAATGGGGGCGCGTGGTGGGGGGTCGAAGTGGCGGGTGGTGCTTGCCTCTCTCTTCCTGTTTCCGCTGCCCTGTCTGGCGTGGTGGCCGTCTGCTCCATCCCTAACCCAGCTGTGTTGGGCTTTTTTTTCTGTCGGCACTGGCTTTCGGTTACACACGACAACGAAGGTTAAGTGTTGGGGCTCACCGTGGAAGACACAAGGCTCGCCCGCCTGGGTAGGCGGCGCCCTTGGCTCTGTGTTTTATCCACTCTAATGTCGGTTTTAATTTCGCATTTGTAAAACAACAACATTATTATTATTTATTTGCAAGTATTTACAGAGTGCACCCAAAACCACGTTATGCGGCTCTGAAAATTCCCGGTGGTGGATTTTTTTTTTTTTTTTTGGGATCGAACGTCGATCGACCCCGTGACAAGAATCTGTCAGTGCGCGGCACGGTGACGAACGCTTTTTTTGCACATCATCCGCATCGCTCGCCACTCGTACGGGTGTTGGGTACAATTATGGACGTACGCTTCTCTCTTGTGGCGCTGTCGTTATCCACACTTGACGCACAATTTTGGCAAAAGGGGTCTGCAGTCTTGTGCGACCGTGTACACGCGTGTACTCGATGCGCACATGGCCATGGGTTTGCATGAACATGCGGCCTCGGTTTTGGGTGCACCCTACAAATATGTGACCAGTGCCCTGGGACAATTTCTACGAGTCAATGCTACACATATCTATAAACAAAAATGAGCCTGACCTCACATCTTAATGTAAGTTAGGGTGTCAGAGCACCAGCTATTATTAAATTGTTATTGCAGTCCACACAGAATCAATTTGTTAAAAGTTCCAAGCAGGTGTCATTGGCATTGCTTGGGGATTTGGCATGCCTCTCTGCATTTGCCAGCACCCTTTGTGCTTTCCAACAAAAGAATAGCCACTTCTCCAGGTTACATTTTCTACGGCACATAATCTGGAATAAATTATATAGGGCCCACAAATTGGACAGTGTGAAGCTGGAGAGGCAATCTCCATTTTCACCCCTACGGTAAAAAATAAGCTTCACGGTTACATAGCTGATGGGGAGGTGATTCGTGTGGGATGTACCTCTTTGTGCTGTAGAGGTTTATGTAATTAATTCACTGAGCCCCCAATGCCGTGGGCATTGCTGAAGCCCTGATGCTGGCATTTCCTCTGAGTGATAGATGCCAATAATCACATGGTGATGGACGACAAAACCTGAACCGACAGAAAAGAAACCCATTTTTTGGGAGCACATGCTTTTCCCCTGTAATTCTTCACCGAGTTGACCCAACCCTATCTCCCCCCCTTCCTAAAATTCCAAATGAAATGAATGAGAGCAAAAATCATAAATTTACACCTCCCTCTAACCTCTGACCTTTGAACTGTGGGATATCGGCCGCCCCTGGGCCTACCTTTCTTCAGCAGGCACTTGAGCCACGGGAAAGATCACTAACGGATGCTTTCTTTTTTCATAATTACAGTAGTATATTTAACATCCACTTTTTCACAAGCCAGTTGGACTAGCTGATTACGTCGCTTTACGTTTCTAGGCTTCACAGTGCCATGGACCTTGTTGGTAGACCTATATGAGCGTCAGAAGTTCAGAAAGCATGGGACATTTCAATTCGGCTGCCGTTGCGGGTGTGTAATCTTTCCAAAAAATATACGCACAATCTACATGACGTAATGCTGGGAAAGGAAATTTAGACTCGGCCTCCGTTGTTTTTTTTTGTTTTAACGCCCAGCATATAGTTGCCGTTTGCGTATATTTTTTTGCCAACGGAAAAGCATGCTCGCACGGTAGCGACACCACGCTTTGTCTTTAGAGGGCCAAACTTTTCAAATATCAAACAGCTTCGAGAAGAGTTCTCGTGTACGGCACCGCAGCCGAAACGTATCGGTCTCTGCACGCGTATTTTTTGGGGGGTGAATTTGACATTGCACGGACCATTGCACAGGAGGACCGAATTTAAAAAAAAATGCGACGCTTGAACTTCAAAGCGCTGTTTTCAATATTTTCAAAGTTTGACCCCTAAAGTGTTAAATAATGTATCGGGCGCATCTTTGTATATTTAAATATATATTGTGGCCTTCTATACAGATTTATTATAATTTGTTTTATTTATTCTTAGGTTCGGTTAAAAGAGTTGTCACAGGCTGAAGAATTAAGGTGAAGAGCATTGGCTCGGAGTAAAAAAAAAAAACCGCTTGGCTGCTCTATTAATGGACTTGATCTGACGTTGCTTTGCCCACCCTCTCTCTCTTTTGCCTCCTCCTGGGGGACTTTTGCCTACAGCTCTTAATCAAGACGCCACACTTTACACATCTTTTTTGTTGTTCTTCCGCTATGTGTTTGTTTATTGTTGTTGCTCGTATTCTAATTGTGGAATGCAGTTTTCGTTGAACGTTAAGGAAAACTTGTTATGACATTTTTTTCTCATTATAATTGATCGTTTGATTTAATAGAATGTGATTTGATTTTTTTTTACATTTGTGTCTCAGACGTTCTTGATGTTTGTTTGCGACGTTGAACACGGTTTGTTTTTCTGATATTGTGCAGGAAGGCTGCTTTGTAGTGATAAATATTTGCTAACTATAGTTGTTTTTAAGTTGGCATTTCAAGCCCAGTTGATTTTATTTTTACCAAATGAGTGTCATCTGGTGAAAGCTAATGTTTATCTCATCATAAAAGTTCCATTTACCTTTGAAACTAACAGCATCAGCTAAGTTAAGGCAACTATTTTCGTTCGGAAAAAAGCAAAGCGGTTTCCATCACAGCAAAACAATTGGATATTTTGCGGTACGCTTAAAAAAAACACAATTGGTATCAGGAATAAAACTAGAAATAATCGAGTCACTGCAAGCTGGAGTTACGTGTACTCTGTCCAGAAACCTCAACAAAATCGTCAAAAACACTGCCTTCAAAAGCAGTGCCATTGCGCTAAATGTCACCTATTCTAAAAAAAATCCTATTCAAGGCAGTTTCTTCGCCGAATGTGTTGACTTTCTATTTAAATTCGTGCACCACTGCCAATGCGGTGTCACCAAATAATGTTGCAGACGGCTAAATAGAAAAATCTAGACTCTTCGGTTGTACGTGCTGTACAGATCAGCTTTGGTGTTTGGATGGTACATTCCATATCTCTAGGGCAGTTGCCCTGGAGAGCTTCAGATAAACTCTTTAGAATGCACGTGGTTCGTCAGCCTACGCCGCCGCTGGTGTGTTTTCAGAATGCGAAGTAGATATGTAAACTGCATGGAATCCAGTTCAGAAGCAAGCGACGCCCAACAGACCAAACACGGGCACGTGTAGATTTCCCTACTCCTTTATATTATTGTGCTCTCATGAAAGAGACTGAACCTTAATCTTGTGAAACAAATTACGAAGCCGGAAATAAACCTCTGTCTTTTAAAGTTAATTACCATTGAATTATGATTACTAAACGGATCTCAGTTTGTCTCTTATTGACGTCCACACCCATAAAGTCAGTGGCAGCAATTTCCCTTTGGACAGACAAGCACGCTGCGGGTATAGATTATTCCTTGTTTACGCGCCTGGTGAGAGACACTTTGCTCATGTGCTGGCCCATTCAGGGTAATTTCAAGAGGCCATCTGGAAATGGTGCTGTTGTAAGCTCACTGGAGCAGAGCCATTGCTCAGAATTTACCATATGATCTATGAACACCTGGGTAAAAACAATTGGGCATTTTCTTGCAAATTATCCTTTTCGTTTAGGCAGACAGCCGCTGTTTGTCACAGACCATTTTTTTAGATTGTTAGTTTTTATTATATGGAACTGCAGTGCACTGTCATTAATGTGACGTCAATGTATACAGGTTTCTCTCACTATACGCAGCAGTAGTAGAAGCGTTCCAAACAGTTTTTGCGCACAAAGCGAAACCGCACGAGACGGCTGCCTTGTCGAGTAGCGCCAATGGTACACACATCACACACACACACAGTACACACATCACACACAGTACACACATCACACACACAGTACATACAGCACACAGTACACACAGTACACACATCACACACACACGGCACATACAGCACACACACACACAGTACACACATCACACAGTACACACACACAGTACACACATCACACACACACAGCACACACACATCACACACACACAGTACACACACACAGTACACACATCACACACACACACAGTACACACACACACATCACACACACACAGTACACACACACACACAGTACACACATCACACACACACACAGTACACACATCACGAATCCAAACCGCAACGAGCAAATTCTGGGCAAAAATAGGTTTTGCCACATGTATGCAGGGTGCTTCAAAAAAATGTTGACACTTACATGGGACTGTCGTTTTCAATTGGAAAAGAACGGATACTACACTGTAACGTGCTAACAAAAGTATGTTAATAGCTTCAAAAAGTAAAAGAGTCTCCCACTTGTTCGCCATCGTTGTCAACGCGTGGCCTGGAATCTTCCCCAGGTGGTCTCCAGAGCTCGGAGGCAGGACGCTTCTTGTGGTATTGTTGCAAATGCTCAGAATTGTTAAAAAACTCTTTTGAAGCACCCTGTATATGCAGATATTGCGCACAAAGCGAACCTGCGTAAAGCCAGGGAAACCCGTGAAGTGAGATTATATCTCGATTTGAATTCGCCAAGTAAGTTGCAACGTCACATTGAACAAATCACAACAAAAGTCCCCGAACTGTTTTGCGGCACGCAAGGGCTGTCTGCGAAAGAGGTGCGCTTCCTGTATCCTGGTATGAGGCTGCATACCACGGACAAAGTGCACGGAGCGGACGTTGCGTGGTCCGTCCGCACCATTTCATGAACAGCAGGGTGTTCTAATCAACGGTGTCTCCTCTCGAATTACACTGCGAGTCAATGCGTCGTCTTCTCTGGCTCCATCCTCCCATAGCCAGTCTATTATTAACATTTAAAAATAAACCTCAGGCTTCCTGCGTTTCTCCTGCGATGTAAATACATATTGGTTGGGATAAGTAGACCTTGCAGTTATCCTGTTTTTTATTTCACACAAATGATACAGAATCAGAATATTTATTTATACCGGAGGAATCCGATGAGCTATAAAGCTCTTTTTCACAGATGTCAAGTAGCGGCGGGTATTGTTACAACAGCAACAATACAAACACGACAGGATTACAAAGTACAAGAAAGGTAAAACACATCACCCAAAAAATATACAAATAAACTAAACCATCCCCATCCCACCAGGAAAAGCCCACTGAGGCATTAACCTATTTGTCAAAAGCAACCTGGCCACAGATGTAGTTAAAACAGAAATTAAAGCGCAGTAGCGACAGTTTACAGTGACTCGCGAAGTGCAGTGTTCAACCAAGAAAATTCCATGACAAGTCCAAAAATCGATAACAATTTCGCTTTGTTATATATATATACCCATTCATTATTTACTTAATTTATTTGACGCGTGTCCATGATTTTCCGGAGGCCACTCACTATTCGGCCAATCTTGAGAAGCTCCGCTGGAATGGCGGGTGAGGATTAACGGTCGACTGGCGGTTGTTGTTTGTTTGTTTGTTGTTATTGTCCCCGTGGCTTTGGGCTCAGTCTCGCAGGACCTGCTGGAAGTGCAGGCCTCTAACGTGGCCCTCGGCAGCCCCGGCCAGTGCCCGCCGCCGCCGCCGCCGCTCTGGCAGACGGGCGAGGCGAGCCCGATGAGGCCGTACGCTCCCGTGCCTGGCGTGGCCTCGCCCGGCTCCCCCCCTCTGCCGCCCAACGCGGTGCCCGCCGCCTACCCCGCGCACATCGCCGCCGAGAGGTACGCGGAGCCGCCGCCGCCACCACCACCCCCCCCCTGCCCCCCCGCTGCCCCCCTCCGCAGGACATCCGCGAGGGACTTTGGCAGGAGAAAGCGTGGCGTTCTTCAACTGAACCTTATGGGCGATACACCTTATGGGCGGTTACCATAGTCAACCCGGCTCTCGCATAATGTCCGCGATGCTCATCTCGACGAGCTGTACACGATGCACTCTTCAAAGTTGAATTGTTCGATAACGGATTTTCTTATGCTGATGTTTGGCGTGTCAACATCGCGGAGTAGCACCACCGATTTCGGATTGATTGGTACCCCAGTCGCGGAGTTAAGTTACACCCCTGGAAAAAAAATAGTGTCCCAAAAATAAAATATTTAATTGCCTCGGCCAATTTGTATTATTTGGCACCCCGGGGTACCGCCGCCGTGAGGATGAACTGGCAACGTCGGTGGTCGCGGTGGCGGAGCTGTCGAGCGGTTTGAGTTTCTTCTCGTCCTTCAACTAGTCGGATCGCGCACGGCCATTGTGCGTCGCTGAGGCGCTCACGTGCGTTCGACTTCGCATGTGGACGCTTTAGTAAATTGTTGTACGAGCAGTGCATTCGACGATGTGCCTTCGCCCGCGCTCAGTATTCCAGCAACTGCCTCGTAAGTGCGCGCGTCTTTTCGCAAAAGTCGATTTAAGCGCCGCATGTTAGCCTGCTCGCCTTTCACCGAGCTGATTGTTACTCTTGCGGTGCGCAGAATTGTTATTTTTACAATGTACTTACATCTACAGTCACTGCGTGTTTTTATCGCTTTTGTTCGATAAATTATGTTTCGCGCTGGCGATTGGGGTGTGTGTGTGTGTGTGTTGATGGGGAGGGCGTTCATCACAGCAGTGGATAGAGCAGGGTTTACGTCCCTTAACACTTTGCTGCTGCCATTAAGCGCACGCTCATTTAGATGCAGTTCAAGGGGTGTGTGTCTTGTGGTTATCTAAAGTACCCTTGAACTGTTGCTACATGTCATGAGCACATTCATAAACTGTCTGGGCAATGCCAGTACTGTGCTGCGTCTCGGGTTGCCCCATCAGTTTTCCTGGTATGTTCACTTTTGAGGCAGCTGCTGCCCAGGGAAATCCGAAAGCTGTCACCGGGACATAAAACAAATAAGTAAATCCAGATTTATTTATTTTTTTGCAATAATAAGATACCACTCACATGTAGTTCTCCCTTGTTCCGGTATTCTTCTTCTGCCCACGATAGGCCCTTTTATTTTGTACCTCGGAGGTGGCAACGCTATTTTAAGCAGCTGGTTCACACAGCAGATCAGACGGCGTGCGTACGTCCCCGGTACGTACGTACGTTGAACTTCCTTCGCACCGTGCGTGGCCAACCGTGCAAATCGGAGGAGCGGGGGAAGGACAACAAACTAAGCACAAAAAGCAGTCCTAAAGAAGTGAGTTTTCAATCTAGATTATTTAAAAGTGCATAGCTCCCGGTGGCTTCCTAATATCGGAAGGAAGAGCGTTCCAGACGGCCGCAGAAGCGCATCTGAAAGCGCCGCGCGATGCGGTGACCGCCCTTCTTGGTTTCGATGGCCGAGCCAAAATCCGCTGCTGCTGCTGCTGCGAGGATGACGACCGGAGTTCGCGTGACCGATGGTTTATGTTCCTTGAGATCAGTGAGACAAACGCTTGCGTGCGTGCGTGCGTTTAGTTATTCCGATTGCTTGTTTCCTTCGGAAGCCTGTGCGTGCTGATTGTGTGCCATGTCCTCTGGTGGCTTTGTCTCTTCCCCGCGCGTGCTTAAGGACTCCACTCAAGAGCCTCTGCGACAACATGAGGAGACAAATTCTCTCCCGCGCCTTCTTCGGCTGTGAGTGTCCCAAACGTCAGCCGCGGGGCCACCAGATCGATCGACTCGCCATCGGAAGGCTTTGGCGATTGACTCTTTGGGGGGGGGGGGGTTGATCAAAGTCAGTATCGCTTCGTGGGTAGGCAATATCGTAATGCCGAGCCTCTGGAGAGACTTGCTCCACCCGGAATGTGGAGTTTCCACCACTGGCTTAAGGCCACCGATGTTGATGAATACCGCCGCACTCTCATTTGAGCAGGGAGACAACAAATCCCCTCCCACCCCCCGTGTAGCCTTAACAGACTGTTGGGGAAAGTGCAGTTGGCGAGCAGCACCTATGAAGGCCGGAACAGCACATGAGGGGGTGGGTTGCCAGCAACACGCCCGGCCGCCTTTGTCTCCCAAGTGGCAATGTTTTCTGTTTTTTTTTACAAATCGCACTAGGTACTCATTTGAGGCTGAGTCGACCTAGGGAAGGCCCCAAGATCGGTTCCGATAATCGTCACTGGTGTTTGTCCGTGAGCGGGAATCGAGCATGGGTCGCCGGGTTTGCGGCACAGCGTGCTAACCGCTTCTACACCACCCCTCCCCTCATTTGAGCCGGGAGGCACCCAGAGTGAGACACACACACACACACACGCGCGTGCGCGCGCGAGCGTGTGGCCCGGTGGCTCATGGGTCAGCGCACCGAGCCGGCACAACTGAGATCCTGAGATCAAGCTGCAGCTGCACGTCACTGAATCGAGTTATCAACTTAAGCGAGCTCTTGATCCCGTCCCGTCTTACTTATGACTCGACGTACAAATTTTTTTTTATATGTGTTTTGTTGCCAAATTTTGGCTTATTGGAGGGCACGTTAAAAGGTGAGCCGTTAGCGTGGGTAATATTCTATTGAGATGAATTCAGAAGTAATTCCATGATGACATCTTCCAGCGGGGGGGGGGGGGGGAGGTTAAACACGTCATATCACGAAATGGCGATGCCGAGAGCGAAATTTTAAAAAAATAATGTTTTGGAAACAAATGGTGAGGGGGGAAGTATGAAGTGGACGAGTGACTCAGGACGGCGATACGCACTCGGAGCGCTGACCCCTCGCCACCAAAGTCCTGGGTTGTAATCTGGGTTTCACTCAAGCGAAGAAATACGTGTGAGCACACGCCTGTGCGTGTGGGGAACGGCGGCTCAAAAGCCAACGTCAGCGGTAAGTGTGACCAGAACTTGTCCTGGGCCCCCTCAATTAAAGGAGTGCACTATGTAACAATCTGCGGTTTGGCATGCATGTATGTTGAACTTCGTTCGCACCGTACGTGCCAATCGGAGGTGCGGGAAAATCGCGGGCGCGGCCGGTTGTGTGGTTCTGGCCACAGGACCCCCTTCGTGCACCGTGCGGGCCTTGATAGTTGCTCGCCATCAGCACTTGCGCCAGCGGAGGATCGCCTCGACACGGGAGTTGTGATGCCGTCGTGCATGTTGCGGTTTGCCAGGGCTCGCCTACTGCAGGCACCTGAGCACGGTGCGCACGCACCTGTCCGCGCTGGTGAACACCGACATTGTGCCGGCGGATCGGCCATGCGACGCCAGCAACGGCCTCACCCGGCAGCTCTGGGCTGCCATGGAGGCCGGCACGGAGGTTAAATTGCACCACAAACGGCACACCATCAACCACAATGCCAACCGCACCCGCCAAAACCCCACCCGCCAAACGTATCCGCCAACTGCCACACGAACGAACTGCACACTGAGAAAGTAAGATCAGTTGTGATCTTAAACAAGTCTTTGCAACGTCAAAATCACCAGACTAGGCTTTGCATCAATTTCAGTCGATCAATGTGTTTAACTTGCTGACCCACTCGTACTGGACATCTGTGAAAAAGAGCTTCATAGCTCATCGGATCCCTCCTCCAGTCTAAATAAATATTCTTATGAAGTTGTACAGCAGAGTCGAGCTCCCCGTTCTCCGCTTTTCTTCAAGCAGCGGTGGAAATTCCATATTCCTATGGCACCGCGGCACGAGCGTCTCTCTCTTATGACAACCGCTGCCAATGCGCTTCGCCCAGGAGGTGAGCGAGACGGAGATGGTGAGGTTGGTGTACTACGGCGGAGTGGATCCCTCCGTCCGGCACCACGTCTGGCCATACCTTCTCGGCCACTACCAGCTGGGAATGACGGCAAGCGAGAAGCAGCAGGTGAGGCTCGGCCCCGCTTAGATCGACCGAGATCGATCCGAGCGGGGCCTCTCTCTCTCTCTCTCTGTGTTGGAGCTTTGTCCACAGAAACCTGCCCTTGTTTCACGAATTCGTCGTCTCTTCCTTCGCACGCGTACATTTTATCGTTGGGTAATTTTTTTTCAATGGACGTGGAGTGTGTTCTGCACATGGGAGCGATCGTCAGCCCGCAGAGACACGTGTATGAACGGACCCGCAGAGCTACCATCTTCAGGCCATCTTACGGCCCAGCGAGTTTTGATGTTTCACAAACCTCTTCGTGATTCACCAACCCTTCTTCTTTGGTTCTTTCGGTAAAGTAACGTAGAATGAGAATAAAATAATAAATTGATAAAATAAAATAACACAATAATATTCTCACGACGCTTCGGCCACAACACAAGCGGCCTTCATCGGGTGGCCGCTTGTGTTGTGGCCGAAGCGTCGTGAGAATATTATTGTGTTATTTTATTTTATCAATTTATTATTTTATTCTCATTCTACGTGACTTTACCGAAAGAACCAAAGAAGATGAATCCTTGCAGTCACGAAAGCTTTAAATCGTAATATCACCAACCCTTGCTTACAAAAACGCTGGATCACAGCTGCAGCGCCCACCGCACCAGCTCGGCAGTGATTTCGTGCGAGAACATCGTGCTGTCAGGTTGCCGAGACAATGATCCGGAGATGTTGACCTTGGTGCGAGCGCAGAAAGCCTGAGGCCTCGTGTTAGAGCGGTGAAGGGCGACGACAAGCCTGCACCTGGGTGCCCCATCTCCCTCGCCCGCCACCACCACCCTCTCGCCATTCCCACCACCCTCTGGCCACCCTTGGCCGACGCCGTGACGACGCTCTGTTCCGTACACGCACCGCTCCCTGTCTCCGCCGTGTCGTGTGTCCCCCCCCCCCCATGTCGGCGCAGGTGGACGAGGACACGCGCGCACGCTTCGAGGACACGAGCGCCGTGTGGCGCGCGTGCCAGGCGGCTGTGCAGGCGCGCGAACGCGAGCGGGAGGCGCTGGGCGGCCACGGGAGGCACGCGTCCGGCACGCGCGCCGCGGGCTCCGCCGGCAGCCCGGGCGGCGCCACCGGCGGCGTCGGCGTCGTCGCCGCCGCCGCCGCCGGCGCCGCCGGCAGCCCGGGCGGCGGCGCCGGCGGAGCGGTGCAGGGAGTGACGGCGAGGAGTCGCGCCGCGTCCTCGCTGGCGGCGCTCGGCCGCCTCTCGAGCTCGGCGGGGAGCCTGGAGGCGCGGCTCCTCCGCTTCGGCGCGTTCGGCTCGAGCGTCAGCAGCGAGGTGAGGAGGCAGCGGGAGGACGCGTCGGCTCGGCAGGCTCGTGGGCATCGCGTCAGGCCCACCGAGCTGGCACCACGGCGGCGGTCGGGGTTTTTGGGTTATGAGTTCAGCTGCTGGGGGGGCTGAACCAGGTTCTCAAGTGTGGTGAGTTCATGGCATCACCCCGCGCTGTGATGACTGCACGTAAATATACTTATTGTTAAATTGGCTTGCCACTTTTGTTCGGCTTATTTCAGCTCTGCTATTTCAACATTGTGCGCCACCTAGTGTCGGAAAGATCCATTGATATGAGATCAGAAGTAGTTCTATTACATCGTTTTCCAACACACGGTGGTACGCTGCTCACTCTGAGAGGTTCACGTGATATAGCTCTTTATCTCGCCACGTGCGTAGATATTTCTTCACCGCAGTGTGTGTGTGTAAATGCAGTATGTAAAAGAGGAGTTTAAAAAAAAAAGGAGACAATTGCTGGTAGCGTGGTGAGCCGTGCGGACCCCAAGGGCAGTAGGCGACGAGGCTGTACCCGGGCCCTAAGCGTGCGCCACGCGAACCGTCGGAGCGCCGTGCCCCTCGTGCTTTGCCGCGCGCCCCACCGCGACTCTCCCGACAGCTCGCGTCAGCGGTTGTGGGGCCTCTCGAACGTCAGCGGTTGTGGGGCCTCTCGGTTGTGGGGCCTCTCGAACCGTCGTAAGGGCCGCTAGCCTCGAGAGGGCGATCCTCTCGCAGCTGATGTGCTCGGTTCCCCTTCGCGTTGCGAGCGCCGTGGTTTTGGCGCGGCGTGCAGTGGCGGTTGCCGGCGCGAGCGCGCGTCGGTCCGACTTGTTTGTCGACGCGTCGGAGAAAGAGGAGCCCGCTCCTCTCCCGCGGAGGGCCCTCCTAGGAGGATGAGCCCGCGTCTCGTCAGAATCGCGCCCAGCAAAAGTAGAGCGGGGCGCGTGTGCACCGATTGCCCCCCGTGCAGCACGCCCGAGTTATCTTTCTCACGAGACGCTTCCTCGTCCGGTCCGCCGGACGTTTCGTCACGCTGCACCGTGCCGTGCAAATTGTGACGCACCAAAGCAGGTGGATGCAGGACGCAGGTGCAACAACAAACACAATTTATGTTTCGATTTAAAGCTTTCGTGACTGCAAGGATTCATCTTCTTTGGTTCTTGCGGTAAAGTCACGTAGAATGGAAATAAAATAGTAAAAATAAAACATAATTAAATAAAATTCTCACGACGTTTCGGCCACAACACAAGTGGCCTTCTTCAGGTGAAAGGAACAGACCTGTCGGGACGACAGAGCTTCAATGAAGCTTCAGACCTGTCGGGACGACAGAGCTTCAATGAAGCGCCAATGAAGCTCTGTCGTCCCGATAGGTCTGTTCCTTTCACCTGAAGAAGGCCACTTGTGTTGTGGCCGAAACGTCGTGAGAATTTTATTGTGTTATTTTATTTTATTAATGTATTATTTTATTCTCATTCTACGTGACTTTACCGAAAGAACCAAAGCAGAACTATCAATTTATGTTCACGTTTCGCCAAGGTATTGTTTACTCTCAGGGACAGATTGTCGGCAAACCATGGCACGGTTGCCATGGTTGTACTGTGGACTTCGTAGCAGTACATTTATGCAACGTTTAAGCTGGCATAATGAGTGCAAATAAGCCGCCTCGTTCAGGTGACGCATTTTAAACGACAGTCAAATAGTTATCATTCTCGCTTTGAACATGCGAGGTCTGTCTTCTTTCAATGTCTCACGTGGTTATAAATAGAGGACAAAATTCCAGCCTACCTATTTATCCACCTGCATGCAGCCTACCTACCTACCTGCTTGCCTGGCTACCTGCATGCCGACCTAGTGACCTACATACACGATACCCACCCAGCTCTATGCCTACCTCGTGTTTTACATGGAAATGTTTCAGATAACAAATTTCAGTTAGGTCACGTGAAACAGGATCTATCCTTAGCGAACAAGCGGCGCTCTATTATACCTGCAAGTGCTGCCAATGTATCTGGAGAAGTATAGGTTCATTTAAATCACATGTGATAGAAATGTATAATACTATAACGTACTGTATAACCACATTGCTTGTTCTGATGGAAGTGATGATATGCTACGACTGTGCTTTCATGAAATACTGACCGGAGGCTGGTTGTCTTGTTAGAATGTCGGTTATGAGTCGCGATGGAAGAAAGCGGTCAATTGCGACCGTCATCTTTTTGCCGTTGACTCTGCACGCAGAATCTGTTGCGTGGACCTTCCCTGCAGCTACGCACGAATGCCGGTCAACCTGCGAGTGATTTTCCTGCTCCATCTCCCCCGTGTTTGGTGCCGCGGCCTTGAGTAACGCCCGCACCGCCGTCGCCATCGGACCGACGACAGATAGGCGCGCACCCCAGTCGTCCGATGCGGTTCACGTCGTGTCGAGCGGCGCTGGGTGGCTCGGGGCTCAGAGTGCACCCAGTCGGCACCCCCCGAGGCGATCCTGGGTTCAAAACCCTGGGGCTTCCGGCCGCATGTTGATAAAAGCCCCAACAACAACAAAAACTTAATAGCGTTTGTCAACGATTCGAATCAGGTTTCTCCAGTGGAATCTGTTGATGGTGTGAGCCTGGCCACCAGTGATTGCGAAAGTTGAGTTGTTCGCTTCACTCGGGTGTGTTTTGCACATGTGGACAAAAAAAAAGCTTTAACGCTCATTGGATTCTTCGAGTACAAATAAATATTGTGATTTCTACTTCGTTGGGCAAATTCCAGCTGTTGAAATTTCAAATGTTGTTTTGACTGTGTCATGATGACTCTCTTAATAGCTGGCCATGTGATGAAGTTCAGCAATCCCTCGTGTGGCTAAGATGACGTTGAAGGGGTCTCACAGGTTTCTCCGTGAGGTCACCTTTGAAAGGTCCCTGTTTAAACACCGGTTGATGCAGAGCCTTTGTGCAAAAGTTTCGAACAGACAATTCTTCACAATAAAGGCCTTTGGGTTAGATCGCGTAAGCATTAATTCTTATATTATAATAGACAACTCGATTAGACAATTTTTCGTCTCATGAGATGACACTGAGAAGCACAATTTTGGGAAAAGGCCCAAATAATTTATTAAAAAATAGCATGCAAATTTCCATAAACAATCATTGTGCTGCAGTTACACATATATGTATCTGAAAACACATACACTCTTTGTTTCTTTCGGTAAAGTCACGTAGTTAAAAAATAAAATAAATGAAAAAACAACTAAATTAGTTGTTTTTTCAATTATTTATTTTAACTACGTGGCTTTACCGAAAAAAATACAAAGAGTATAAACCAGTACAGGTGGGGACTTGCAGGGAATTGCTGTCAAGCATTCCTCATCACACGTTTCTGTTTGACCCTGTCAACGTACCGTGGATGGGCACGTGCGACGATTGTAAATCCAGTACAATGGAAGTTGCCTGCTACTGCAATCGAGTTTCACAACACAGCTTGGATTTTAGTGTGCTCCGGACAACCGCAATCCTAGCGCATGTAAACCACGAGGGGAATTAATGCTCCCAATACAGCAACGAGAGATGTGATAGGCTGTGTGAGCCTGCTAGAGAGTACCAAAGCTTAAAATGTCAAACAATAGAAAATAAATCCAGGTATCATGGTATTTTGTTGGAAAAAATATATCTCACAAATATATATATTTTTTATGGAAAATTATCGCCGTGAAAAAAGTTTCCCTTCGCAGATACATTTTCCAAATATAACGAGTCCTGACTTATGCTCAGTGGGCCACAGATTTGGGGTCCACTTCACGTTGGGGCAACGCTCCTCTTCCTTCCGTGCCCACCAATGAGACATCGTCACCGAGCACAATGCCTTCCGGCCGTTTTGTAAACATTTTAAACTTGGCTCAGGGATCGTTATTAATTTCCTGCTCTCAACATCACGAAACACGTGACGGTGTTCAGGTAAGGGGGTAAGAGTTACAATGTGGTTGACGTAGGCTTCTCTCCGGGTGTTTGGCCCCCTGAAGGGTGCACAGGAGCAGTCGCGCGACAGAATTCGCCTTAAATTTCGATTTAAAGCTTTCGTGACTGCAGGGATTAATCTTCTTGGTTCTTTCGGTAAAGTCACCACGTAGAATGGAAATAAAATAATAAAAATAAAACATAATAAAATAAAATTCTCACTACATTTCGGCCACAGCACAAGTAGCCTTCTTCAGGTGAAGGAACAGAACTGTCGGGGCGACAGCGCTTCAATGAACGCTGCTAAGATTCGCAGCGTCTTTTAAGCTAGGTGGGAGAAGTAAAGCACCTTGACAAAGGAGTTTACATATCAAACAAGATAATTTAGCATTGACATAGCTGTGTTAAAGTGTTGGATCAGCAGGGTGTTAAAGTCAGAAATTAGCATGTAACTGGGAGATTAGCATGATGTTAATGTGAGGGATTAGCATGTGACTGGTCACGGAAATAGCTATGTTAAAGTCAAAGTTTACATATCAACAGAGGCATTTAGTATATGGACGCTAAAGGACTGCAACTACCGATGTGAAAAACTAAGTATAAACTACATCAATATAATAAATGTACTCAATATATTCTTCAATAAGTTGAGCAATTAACATAGAGTAACTGGGTATACACTACACTATATAATGAATACAATATAGTAAACTAATAAACGTCGAGAGAATTTTATTTTGTTATGTTTTTTTGTTTATTATTTTATTTCCATTCTGCGTGGTGACTTTACCGAAAGAACCAAGAAGAAGAATTCGCCTTTTTTTTCCCTGCCGTCGTTTCAGATAAGGGTAGTCGCCGCACATTCGGGACAGCGGAACTTTAATACTCACGGCTTTTGTGAGCGCCCTGTCATTATTTCCGCTCCGGCAAATCGACCCTTATTACCGACGTTAGCGGGCGGCCCCCATAAATCACTGCGGCGGTCGCGTTGGCGTCGTTTTCTCGCGCCACGAGCCGTGCGGGTGGCTGGGAGTCCAGCCCTGCGATCACGACGCTCCCCCGGTAAACCAGCTTGCGCGGAAGTCGAGAGTTTGATCCCGCAGACGATTCGCGTTCATTCTCGTGCACCGTTATTGCCAGAGGGTGCCCTTCGCCCCCAAAAAAGTGACGCTGAAAGATTGTTTTTTTATCATCGTTTCTGTACTGGATGCCAAGTGGCCTCAAGCCAGATTTGTTTTCATAAATTGTTAAAATTGAATATCCTTCCCTTTGTACAGTAACAAGATTTACCATGTTGCCCTTGCAAAATTAATATTACTTGGCCTGTGGGCGTGCGCTGAAATTGGTACGACCCAGAGCTAAAATGTTTTACAATCAAACACCGTTTTTAACGTATAGATGTCTAAACTTGACCAAATTCTAGACGTGGAAATTAAAAGCATATTAATATGCAATCGCCATTTCAATGAAAATACATTTACATATTTGCAAATAGAGCTCTTTGTTAATGACATTTGAGACGTGCAATTTTCTGAACAGCTTGCCAACTCAGTTTAAAGACGTTTAGAAAGTGCAGTGATGCATGGTAAGTCAGCTCTCTCTGGCTGCTGAGAGCCACTATCAACCTGAAGCGATTATGTTGGCATGACTCCCATCAACGCCCGTACATGCTGACTTGACCGTTACATCTCTGAGGTAACTGCAGTGCTTATTGTTAATTTTAAAATCTTAAAGGTTTATGAAAAAAGTATTATATACTGTATATATAAATAAGAACTGCTAAAATTTTGGGGAAATGATGGCAGATTGGAAAAAAAAATCTGGAAAAAATATGACACTAAGATGGTAGGGGGCCATCCATTGAGTAGGAACGCAAAAATCTGTCAAAACTCGACCCCTCCCCCCCCTCCCTGTACGCACGTGGACTTTTTACACCCCCCCCCCCCACCTGCGTACGTACGCCTGACCCCCCCCCCCCTACCGAATCCTATAGAACGGCCGATATTTAATCCACGCAGAAACGATCAAGGATTAATAATATGAACGTGTTTAAGCAAACAGATAGTCCACCGCCGGACTATCTAACTCATTTGAAGGCCAATGTAGACAAATTATTAGCGAGGCTTCACCCCCCCCCCCCCCGGCGTTTCCTATGCGTACGCACATTGTCAGTAGATCCCCCCATACGCAAGCGTACGCATTTGGGTTACCCCCCCCTCCATGCGTACGGTCTCAATGGATGGCCCCGTATGGAGATTATATAGTGGGACAACTTGAACACGTGCGTATAGTAGCTTGTTTACTGAGGGAAGTTTGAAGCTCAGCATGGAGGAATTGGTTTCCACACTTACATCACGACACTAACCACTTTCAGCTCAAGCATATGTTAATAATGACAATACTCGGGACTAAGTTTCAAGATTGCAACGTTTAAAAACCTGGGTAAAAAAAAAACGGCCTCCGTATAATTTCTGATAGTACACAGTTAGAGTCAGCACCTGCAAAAGTCCAATCCTCAAGTATATTTTCCCATCGATTATTCCCCTGACAATATTTCAGAAATCATTTCAAAATATACATTTATTCTACCTAAAAGTCCACGAAGTAAAATAAATTATTGCATAAATTAAATTGTCTCATCAGCAACCTCTCAAGAGTCATCATCATCTGTCCCTTATGTCGGCTGAGCCGAACGAAACCCACCTTTGTTCTCCTCCTAGAGCCAGCATCACTGTCCTCATTCAGTCAAAATCATTTTTCGTCTCGAAACCTCTTACCGCTGCATCTCTCCACCCGGTGGTGTCTTCCTCTCCCGAAAGCGTAAGTGCGCTATAAAACAACAGAGAGAAGTTACTGATTTTTCTTTCATGTGGTGACCCTCATTCTGAGAGCCCCCCCCCCTCCCTTTGTTTTAACACCAGCGACCGTCTTGCGTTCGCGTGTTGTTGTTGGCGGCGGGGACCGTTTAGGGCCCAGCAGACGTCTCTCCCGCCTTAGCGGGTAACGGCGGGGAACGAATCGCGGCTCTCTCCTGCACGAAGCCCTCTCAGCAGAGTGGCAGCAATGGAGGGGGAGGAATGAGACCAAAAGGCATGCCCTGTGTGCGTGTCGCCCGTGTGTTGTAGTCGAGCGTGCACCCGTGCCTGCCTACTGGCTGCAGTGTGAGCGCCCAGGTAAATGCAGCGTGGCTGCCGTGCCGTGTCACCGCATGCGACGTTGTCGTCCTCTTCTGCCGTGGGCCTCCCCTGGTTCCTTTCAAACACCCCCCTCCTCCGCCCGCCCCGCTCCCCCACGGTTCCTGCTCGTGCGCAATAGCGCCGCGTCCCAGCTCTGCGGCTCGAGGTTGCGGGTGGCAGCTGTCGCCCCCCTCCCCCCCCCAGGGAACCGGTCACCACTCGGCGTGCCGGACGCTTACCGGCGTTCGGGCGCGCGCAAGTGCCGTGGCGCGCTCCGCTCGCGCGGCGTTCGCAGCGTGGCCAGATTAACGATGCAATTGGCCTCCACAGTTCGACGGGAGGAAACGGGAAACTTGCGAGTTTGTGTTTGTTCACCACCCCCCCCCCCCCCCCCCCCCACGAAACGTGAATTCATTTGGTATATTGACGCCGTTCTCGAAGCGCAAGGGGCTCTCGCGAAGGCGCGTCTGCTTTACAGACGAGTAGCTTTTCGCAGGAGTTTCACAGCAGGGGGGGAGAGGGGGGGGGGCGATGTTGCATTGTGGCTCTACTCAGGATAATTTTGCAAGTAATGAAAAAAAATTGCACATCGCATATTAAAACTAGCGTATCACCTTGCAGCGGACTAGACTCTCAAAGAATGATGAGGGGCGGCCAAGGTTGCGTATTATTCACAGGCTGATCAACAGGTGACAACTCAACCACCATCTGCTGGGTCTCATCGCCTCAATTCTCAAGCTCAAAACTATAACCCTAGTTGATGACAGACGGCGCCCGCTGTCAAGCGGTCAGATTTCCAGTGGGTGTAACTATCACAGCGGCGCTTCGCTGAGCAACAATCGTGCAACTTTGAAAGGAACAGGCCCTGTGTTCCCTCTCGTGATGTGCTGTGCTCGTATCACCCATCCGTGCTGCCCGTTCTGAAAAAACACCACGAAAAAGAGGCCAGAGCGATGCACACCACCTGCTGATAATCCACTGTGTAACAATAAAAACTTAATTTGTCCCTGGGTAGTAAGTGTTTTTTTCTAATTGCTTATGCCTCAAAAGTACAGAAAATGGCTGTTATCCCCCACGAAACTTTGCTTTTGTTCTTTTGAAATGTACCTATTTTCGATGAGAAAACGTGGTGTACATTTGTGTCATTCCTTCACGTAAAGTCCTGGTCACAAAAAAGCAAAGTTTGTGGGGAATAAGCCATTCTCTATACTTTTAAGGCATAAGCAATGAAAAAAATAACACTTACTTACCCAGGGACAAAAATCGTGTTACATCGTGCAATCTGTACGTGCGCGGGCACTTGTGTTTTTTCCTCTTAACACCTTGATCGATAACCCTCTTGGCGCTTCCGTGTTATCACACTAACGGCATCGTGTTTTGAGGCGTCGCTTGTCCGGTCCCGTCTCTTCTTCGTCCACGCAACCCCGAGTGACCGTGGCGATGTGCAAAAAAAGTGGCACGGCCGTTGAACGTGTGGCCGTCGTCGTGAAGGCCCCGCCGAACGTGATTGTCCCGCCGAACGTGATTGTGATTGTCTCGCCGAACGTGATTGTCTCGCCGAACGTGATTGTCTCGCCACGCGCAGTGCCACGATGGGTGCACTCGCACGTGCCAGACCTCCCCCACCCCCCCCCGTTCTGGTTTACACTTAAAATAATCATAATTCACACTTTAATTTTTTACACAACGCGTCAGCACGACCCTAGCGGAAGGGGTGAACCTGTTAAAATCTTCCCCGTAGCAGCGCTGAAAAGTTCTAAAAGAAGGGCCATTTCGTGGAAACGTCAGCGGCACATTTTGTACTTGGTGTTTTGAGGCAGCGTTACCGATGTACGTGCTGAGCTTTGTTCTAATTTGTGCCAAGTTCAACGCGGTAGCTCGGGTTTGCTGATGGGCAAGTGGCTTCGCATTGACTGGCGATATAGGAGATCATACTTTATTTGAGCTACGGCGTAATGGAAGGAGCCCATCAGAGGACAGAAATCTACAACTTGTTAGGAACGCTCACGAGAGGCGTGTTTTAAAATTTGGTGAAATCTCAATGTGTTTCGTAGCAATGCCTGCGCTAATCGGCACATTCTGCCATAACCAATAGCGAGTTGGTTACGTTTAGGACAGGCGTCGCAAACTCCTGAATTAAAAAACGCGCGTGACAGCAGCGGCAGTTATCTGACGTGCACGTGTGAGCTTGAGAGCCGTGCGATGTGAAACAGAATGCCACATTCATAAGACAATTCTATTTGGTTGCTTGAATTCGAGGTTTGGAATGCTGTATAGCCTGGTGCGGTCAATGTGCTGGCCACGGAGCTACGCCTCGCAGTGAGATTCCCATAGCCGCCTACCAATTTACGTGGCGAATTACCAGAATGTGTCATTTGCTCAAAAGTGAACCATAAAATCTTTGTTGACATTGTTCACAAGATTAGGCGGAGCCATGCCGGTGTCATAGCCCGCATTGCAAATTGGACCAATATATAAAACATTTTACTCCTAAAATATTTTTTAATTAAAATGCAATATCCGCTCTTTTGTAAATATACATAGTTAATTATCTGCCATGCACGAAGAGGGAATGACTCTCACTGCATCACGTGTGATTCTATATAAAAAATAAAAACACACAACGTTGAATTAATTCGATAAGTAATGTTTATTTTTTTAATTTGGAATAGTAGATACGATGTGGTGCTCGTAAGTTGCCTGTGGCATCGACACACACAGGCATCGTAAAACGTGAGAAAAGCAGAAGCCAAAAACCACAGGCAGATTTAATTTGAACTTGGCTTATAATGGTGGACCATTACTTCTCAACGCTGACACCACAAAGTGTCGAACGCATGGAATTGCTGCAGGTTAATTGCTTGCTGATAATTTTGTGAGTTAATCGCTGTGGAACAATTACCCAGGGTTAATTGATGTGGGGAAACCACTTTGAGTTAAGTGCCCTGCGAAGAGCCTGAGTAAGCCATTACGATTCCAGATTGGAGGGCGGACTCATTTATTTGATTAATGCCAGTTGAATGTCCAGTTCTTAGCTCTTGTCCCAGAGTTAGTGTCCATGGGTTGAAATCCTACCGCTCCATGATAACGTTTGCAGGGACACGTCAAGGAATATGAGCCAACGTCAGATTTCATAGGTCTTCAGGGACTCGCAGCAAATGCAGACTTGTTCTCTCTGTATTCCACAGTGAAATTGTAAAAAAAATCTACCTCATCACCAGGTGCCCCTTGCAAAAGAGATAATGAGTGTCTCAGTGAGCTTTCCCCTGGATAAATTGACAGAACCATTGTTATTTAAATTAGTTAGTATTACCCGTACTATTGTTAAAATGCTGAATGTTAATATTGCATTATCATTGACAGTCCACCTAGCTCCATGTTGACAGCCACTTTTTTTTAAATATTTTTCTTGAACCAAATTTAAGAGGTTACGTAACAATCAAACCAATTGCATGTGGCTGTGGAGGCCAATGCTGCATATGTCCGGGTACCGGATAGACGGTTAACCTTCATCAATAACAGATAAGACCCCCGCTGAGACCAGACGTCTCGTTTTCACTAACCACACTATACAGCAAACCAGTTTCAACATGAAGCAAAAAAAACAAACAAAGGCAAACGTTGAATACTTACGACCGCACACCTCTCACCGTTATTTTTGCCCAGTGGAAACGAGAGTTGTCATGTCTATGTAATATTATATCAGCGCAGTGACGAATGATACGTGTACTTGATTCAGGTCAGAGATTGCAACAATAACAGTATCAGAGGCAGGATAGGACACGCATAGTGCCTCCTGTACATTAGCTCGGTGACAGGATTGCGGTGTCTCATTTCGGACCTCTCTATCGCCAGGATTAATTGCTTTGCTCTCAGTCGGCGGTTAACAGTGAGAAAGAAAAAATATGTTTTGCCCAAATGACAAAGTACAAATTGTATAAAATAAAAGGGTGGAATAATCTGTAAAAACACGACAAAACACGAGTGCCATGAGTTGGTAAATGTTGGCTGGGAATAATTGAGTTTGACACGTAGGCTTTCGCAACCAATATTATTCATAATGAAGGTGTTTGGGTTGGACTGCATAAGTATAAATGTGTCGTAACCCTCCACCACCCGACACAACTAGTCAGGGATTTGTCACGTGAACAACGCGTGCCAATTAGTTACTACTTCACCCCACCGGTGTGTTGGAGAGTAAATCCACAACATTTACAAGTTTAGTTCTATGACGTTTCGCTGGTAATTACATCCAGCATCATCAGGCGATTTGCCAGAATAGTGAAGCCATCCACCTGCTTCCGGTCTTAATAGAGCAACAGGACGACGTCATCACTGTGAACCCATCAGGTGTAGAGATCAGAGGGGGAGGAGGGGGTTTTATTGGCTGTGTCGGATGGTGGAGGGTTACGACGCATTTATACTTTCGTGATCTCACCAAAAAACCTTTATTATGGGAATAATTGACTCTGCCCGACGTCTGGGCAGGTGTTTGAGTCGGTAGACGAAGTGGAGACACACGCAGGCCCCGAGGCGTCCACAGCGCTGCAGGAGTGCCTGCCGGACCTGCAGCTCCCTTACGCACCCGGCGAGGACCCCCAGCCCGGCCTGGAGACGCAAGACTCGACCGATACGCATGGCACGGGCAGCCACGCGGAGGCGGGGGGCAGCCCGTGGGAGCCCGAGGAGCAAGGCATGCTGGGGGGCGCGGACGAAGCCGGTTGCCACGGCGATGGCGAGGCAGTGCCGAGCCCTGGCTTGGGGTCGCCGCCGTCTCAGCCAGAGCCCGACAGCGCGGTTGGAGATTACACGGTTCGTACGGCCTCCACTCTCTCGCTCTGTCGCGTGCGTTTGTCCAGGAAAGCCTCGCCGGTACATCTTTTCCACCGTACAACCAGAACGTGCTGAGCCAGCCCAGCACGGCTCAGTAGGGGCCAGGTTCATATTCTTAGCTCTTTCGGTAAAGTCACGTTAAAGGGAAACAATAAAATAATAAAATATATATAAAACAATAAAAATTCTCACGACGTTTCGACCATAACACAAACGGTCATCATCAGGTGTGAAAAGCTTTTGGTGTGAAAAGCTTTTCATACCTGATGATGACCGTTTGTGTTATGGTCGAAATGTCGTCATAATTTTTATTGTTTTATATATATTTTATTGTTTCCCTTTAACGTGACTTTACCGAAAGAGCTAAGAATATGAATTACTGCAGTCACGAAAGCTTTAAATCAAAAGGGGCCAGGTTGTTTTTCCTCTGCAGAACCCGAGCCGTGCCACTGATGGTCACGTGCAACGAGACGGGTCGAGATGCATGCAGTGTGCTACTCTGTGATACAACTTGTGATGAAAATTATTTAACACCACCCCCCGTACCCCCCACCCCACGCCCGTCCCCTGCTTGACCTGGATTCAGATACATTTTGTGAAGCCAGAGTTTCACGGTTTAATTCCGACTCTGCTCTGCATATAGTTGAAATTCACCCATGCTGCGAGGGTTCCCCCGACCCCACGCCGGCACGGCTCGCATGTGCTAGTGGGAATAAAAAAAAGTGGGAGACACATTTCTGGCTGTACGTGCATCAAGCAAGCGTTTGAATGCAATTTTTTTCATTCATAAAATGTTATTATTTCTAAGGATTTAAATACATTAACATCTCAAGCTGATGCACACGAGTTTGTGGGAAACATGCTTGTGGCGAATAGAGGTGTGGGCAGCAAAGGTTGGCTGCGTGGCTCACAGGTCAGAGGTCAGAGCGCTGAGCCAGTACTGCTGGTGTCCTGGGTTCAAACCCAGGCTGCCACCTGATGATCAAATCAGGTTCTCCAGTCGATTGACTTATGAGTCAATAATAACTGCACAAAAATCCCATCGCATAATGTTTGGCTTTGTACTTAATTTGGCTTAATACCAGCTCTGAGAATTACAAATAATGTCGGTTTCACCGTCACGAGACAAAAAGATGTTCCATCAGAGTATGTGTGCGGGAAAATGACACCAACTGTGCAAAGCATTTAAACAAACGGCCACTGAAGCATTTTCCTGGTGAAGTCCCGCACAAAATATCTTCTGCAGCCATTCTCTGGATTGCGAGGCACACTGAATCCGTGAGACGTCCGTACCGATTCCTCAGCTTTGCCAATGATGCCAAAGTATAATTGGAATGCGTTGTGGGGGTAAAGGCACAAACTCACTCTTTTTTAAAAGAAAATGGAGGGTTGGGAAGGCGAGTGGTGATGGCAGTGTTGTAAACGTGCTACCAGAGAGGCAATGACTCACAACCAGAGAGGAGTTGAGTGAAGCTGATTGCGAGCAGGGTCAGTTCCCCCCCTCCGTTGTATCGTAATTGTTCCATCGGCATCACGGCACGAGGCGAGGGCCGCGCCGATTCCCAACGCTTCGCAGGGCCGCGCATCGACTCCCTTGCGCCCGAGGACAGCCCACAGAAGCAGACGTCGCAGAAATGCTTTTACGGAAATATTCGGTGACGTCTATTTTTTAATCCGCATACCAGGGGGCGCATTTTCCATGCAGAAAAAAAACTACTGAATTAGTTGCGTCGTAGTGATACTGATATATATAAAAAAAATCTCAAACCAGGGATTTAATTGGTTGAGAGAAAAGACCAAATTAACGTGACGAGTAGTTTGGTAAACAATAATCGGTGATCGGGCTGAGACCGTGAACTCGCTGCGCGTGAGAATCCAGCTTTAATCTGACCCCTGACTTAGTCGGTCATGTGCGCTTCCGTAGCAAGAAGAGCTGGACATGTACGCTATGAACTTCCATCGCATCGACAAGGATGTTCATCGGTGTGACCGCAACTTCTGGTTCTTCACTGCGGGGAACCTGGAGCGGCTCCGCAGGATAATGTGCAGGTTTGACTCCATATCCCGGTCCAGTCGTTCCAAGCTGACATTATTGTTTTTTATTATTATTATTGTAGTGCCATCCAAGAAATACAGCAACCAGGTGTGTATTATGTAACGACTGGGCAGGCAATTAATGGCGGCTGCCGCTGTTGCGGTCGCTGTTGTTGTTGCTGTTGTTGTTGTCCGCCCACGTGGTGCTCGTTGTCACGCGTGTGCTCGTGGCAGCTACGTGTGGGAGCACCTGGACGTGGGCTACGTGCAGGGCATGTGTGACCTCCTCGCGCCGCTCCTCGTCATCCTGGACGACGGTACGAGCGGCTATCGCCGCTACCACTCCTCATCCGCACTTCAATCACTCCTCATCCACACCTAATCCGTACCTCATCCACTCCTCATTCATTCCTCATCCATTCCTCATCCACTCCTCATCCACTCCTCATCCTCACCTCATCCACTCCTCATCCACACCTCATCCACACCTCGTCATCTCCTTATACAAACCTCACCCATTCCTCGAATGTCTCATGTGGAGACACGGTCTCCATGACTTGGAGCTGCTGCTGCTGCTGCTGGGCCACTAGAGCTCGGTTCTCCGTTGTCGTGGAAACGGTCCACGAGTTCTGCTTAGTGGCGTCGTGACGGCCGACCCCCCCCCCCCCCCCCCGACGTGTCCCCGCAGAGGTGCTGGCCTACAGCTGTTTCAGCCAGCTCATGAAGAGGATGATCCAGAACTTCCCCCAGGGCGGAGCCATGGACAACCACTTTGCCAATATGCGCTCGCTCATCCAGGTGCGGCACCCGTATCGGTCGGCATGGGGGCACTCGGCACGGTGGCTCTTGCCACGCACATAAGAGCACACACTTGCGCAAACACGCACACACCCTTACGTACATGCACTTACACGCAAACGTGAACGAACACATGTATACTCTTTGGTTCTTTCGGTAAAGTCACGTAGGTATAAAATTAAATAAATCACGACGTTTCGGGCGCAACACAAGCGTCCGTCATCAGGTGGGAAAGCGATGGTCTGCTGCTGAGGCAGACTGTTTAAAAAAAATTTGAAATGGGTGTAGGCCAAGGGTCATAAAGAAGTGGCGTCGTTGCGTCGCAGTTTTATTGAGCTGTCTTTTGTGGTCCCGGCCAGATTTTGGATTCGGAGATATTCGAGCTGATGCATCGCAATGGAGACTACACTCACTTCTTCTTTTGCTACCGCTGGTTCCTGCTGGACTTCAAGCGAGGTGCTGCCCCCACCCACCCCACCCCACCGTGTGCCCTTTCTACTACTCCGATCCCTCTCAAACACTGGCTGCTATAAATTTCCACACGATGAGCCACTTTGTTGAGCTATCGTTAGTGATAGCCAGGTCGCTTCTGAAAAAAAACCCTCTATATAGCTCAATGGGCTTTAGCTGCTAAAATAAAATAAAAATGTTTAATCGTTTCGATTTTAGTATAATGTCCGACTCGCCAGAGACATCTATATCAGCAGATATGTGAAAGCGATTGAATATGTAAAAAAAAATATTTATTCAGAAAAACAAACAGGTTATTGGACGCCAAACAACAAAATACAGCACAAACTACTTTAGAATGAAGCGCGTATAAAAACATTTTACTCCCAGCTGCTGGGAGCAGCCGACTAGCTGCACGTCTAAGTCCCTGAAGAAGCTCCCAGCACGTGGAGCGAACTGTCGGACACGGCGCGAACAACTCGCGTTGCGACCAGGACACACATCGGGGAGCGGTGCGGCACAACCGCGAACATCCAGCGGTAGCAGCGGCGTGGGGGTGGCAATGCGACCCGCGCGTGGATGATCCGTCATCACCGTCCGCCGCTGCTCCCGTCGCGTCGTCCATGCCCTGGCGCGCTTCCACCCCTCCCGTCTGTCTCCCGCGCCACCCCCCCCGCCTCTCACGGCCCCCAGAGCTGGTGTACGAGGACGTCTTCGCGGTGTGGGAGGCCATCTGGGCGGCCCGGCGCGTCTCCTCCGAGCACTTCGTCCTCTTCCTGGCGCTGGCGCTGGTGGCACGCTACCGGGACATCATCCTCGAGAACAACATGGACTTCACGGACATCATCCGCTTTTTCAACGGTTCGACTCGCAGACGGACACACGTACGGACGGACGGACACGTACGGACGGACACGTACGGACGGACAGACACACATATACGGACAGACGGACGGCCACACGTACGGATGGACACACGTATGGACAGATAACGCGGACGGACGGATACACATACTGACAAACGGACGGACGCGCGTACGGATGGACATATGTACGGACGAACACACGTTCGGACAAAATACCTTCTAAGCAGGGCTCTCTCTTGGGAGAGAATATTATGTACTTTTAAAGCTAAACTGAAAACGAATTTTCTTTACAACTGCTTTTCGTGTTTAGTTCCTTGTCCTTCCCCCGCATCTCCGATTAGCATGGCATGTCCACGTACGGTGCGAAAGAGGTTCAACGTACATACGTGCATGCGAGAAAGGTGCTCGCCGTGGTGTGAGCAAGCAATTGGTAAGAGTCTCCCGTGGGTCTTGGCCGCCCGCAGAGATGGCGGAACGGCACGACGCCCGGCAGCTGCTGGCAGGGGCGCGCGAGTTGGTGCACCGCGTGCAGGCGCTCATCGAGAACAAGTGAAGCGCGACCCGGTGCCGGCAGCACCAGCAGCAACCGCCCCCACTCGCCACCCACTGCCACCACCGCTGACACCACCACCACCGAGCAGCCGCCTCGTGGGTGCTGCTGCTGCTGCTGCTGCCCCAGGGCGTCCGGGGGTCAAACGCCAAACCGGGGACAAAAACTCTGCCGTCGGATCCTGCAGGTTTCTCCCAGTGGCCTCACACAAACACGAGGCAGCACCTCAACCACCGGTGGTGTGCAGATCGGGTGCATTGCTTTTGGATATTTTGCTCGAATCTGTATAATCATTTAATGAGAATATGATTATACAGCCCAGCGTTACCGCTACCGTTTACATCTCGTGGGTTAATCCGCGAATTTCCACTCTCAAGAACATTCCAAAGTTATTTTTTTTTTTGCTCAGTAACACCCCCCCCCTCGTCCCTTTTTACCCCACTGCCTTCAAAACATTCCTTTCACACACGACGCAAATGTACACGTTCGTGTGTGTGTCGTTATTTTGGTTTGATAGTTTTTGTATAATTATTATTATTTACGCCCCCTCAGGCCCCAGCCTTGGCCCACACTCTTGTGCACCACCCCCCCCCCTCCCCCAATACCCTTAGCAATGCCACCGAGGCCCCGATAGTGGCAATGCAACAAGGAGCCAGGGGGTCTTTGTCAGCAGGGCCCATAGCTCAGACGGGACAAGAATGCACTGTGTGCTCCAATTTTCCCGCTGGAGGCTACTACAAACGAGACCTTTTAACGCCCAGGCCCGAGACCTCTTTACGGAGGGCCACGCTCTGGGCCAAGTTTATTAACGTGGGTCGGGGCTTACGCTCGGAGGGACCCCCCCCCCCCGCAGGGGATTCTGCGCCGGTGTGGTGGCGGCGCTCCTCCAGTACGCCCGCCGGGGCCTTCGCGACGAGGAGCGGACCTCGCCTTGCCCACGGCTGGCCTGCGCCTGGCCACTCGCCGGCACCACCGTGGTTGACGTGCCGGCATTGTTGGGTTTTCACTGCAGCTCAGGTTGGGGGGGTGGGGGGGGCAGCACCAATTAAAGAGCTGGAGCTGCGCACGCCGTAGACGGTGCCGCTCGTCCATGCCACGGCCGCTCACACGCCCTCTTGCTCGCTCGATCCAGGGATGTGGCTCAGGTCACGCTGACCACCGACGCTCACGCACCTCCGATTAGCACGGTTGGCTGCGTACGATGCGAAAGACGTCCAACATGCACACGTACATACTCTACACGGACACTCAGCCTATGCCCGGCGCATCCTACGTCCCCCCCCCCCCCCAATCTACCCATCCGAGCCTAATGCCCACGCACGCACGACCGCAGAGACCACGAAAGTTTCTTAACGTGAACACGCAAAGCTCACTACGGCCAAGTACCGCTCACCGGACTCGCCGCGTGTGCGACGACGATGCTGGTTTGCACAACTCACTCGGTGCTGGTGTCTCTCAGCTGTGCGTCGCGACGGTCGCGTCTCACGGACGTGGACGGTGTTGGGCCGAGAGAGAGACGCCGGCTTCGCAGGTGCGTGGGTCGGTTCTCCTGGGTTTGGAAGCACGAGGGGGCGGTTCCCTTTTGCGGGGCCCTTTGTAACTCTATCCTCAGCCCCGGCCACTCCTGTCCCGTTAATTTGACACACGCTTGAGTGCGAGGGCTCAAATCTCTTCGAACTCGTCGTTCCCCGTTTGCTGTTTAAGCTCCGCTCCCCGACCTGTCCATGACTACAATCTCCCAAAGGTTTCTGCCAATCAATGGGAGAGACCCTCTTCCCTTCAACTAACAGAGCTCCCCTGCTGCTGTCCGGGATTAGCTGAGCCGTTGCTACACCACCCTGCACTCACAGCCCATCCTCGCCACCGCAAAGGGCAAACCAAGGGCAGTGACCATGCGTCACACCGCGTAGTCTTGTCATTTGTACGACCACCAGCTTCCCTGGAGGTGGCTTTGTGCCAAGCTCACCATATCACTGGGTCGGGTGGCCTTCCCCCCCCCCCCACTGCCCTTCAAACGTTGCCAATATTTGTCCACCCAAAGGAAGCCCTTGGCCAAGGCCACCTGCTAGGATGCCCAGGGAGGAAAGCCTAGGGTTGGTAGAGAGGTCTGATGCCAGGGCTATTCTAAGGGTAACCCACCCCTTTCCCCCGCGATGTGAGCAGTGTGCAGTGCTGGGTCGCGTTGACACTGGGCTGCTGCTTTGTAGGTCAGCGTCACGCGCATGTCACGAGGCTTGTCCTAACCTTAGCCTCGTGCCGCGATCTTCGGCCTGGACTTCATGGTCTAGTGCGACAGGTCTCAGGCCTTGGCGTAGTGGTCTAGCGTGGGAAGCCTCCGCTTTTCCCTTCTCTTAGAAGAGGCTTCGACCTCATGTTTGGCTTCGTGTAATCTGCCTCAGCCTTGTCCTCAGCCTATTGTGAAAGGTTTTGACCTTTTTCTTGGCCTTGATTTAAAAAAAAAAACACAGCTCTGTCCTCCAGTACCCAGGCCTTGAGCATAGACGGAAGTGCGTACGATGGGATCTCAGTTCCATTTCACAGAGCACGCGATGCCCACAATTACAGAATATGAAGGACCGGTCCACACAAAGAGGATCTGTTGGGGACGTGAGAGCGCGTGCCTATTTGTGGAGCCAAACGCCGCAATGTTAAGCAAAGGGAAGCACATCAACATTCCACTCTTATTATTATTATTGTTCGCTTTCGGGCGATGATGGTATTTAAAAAATATATATATTAGAATATATACCATAGTTGTTTATTGGAAGTTTAAAAAGAAAAGTTATCTTTATAATGCGCACTGTGAAACTACAAATTCCATGCGTTTTGAGCGATGGCCCACACCGCAGTTTTGCGAGGGGGGCGTAACTTTTTTGCGAGGTTCCGAGTGGCCTCCGTGACCTGCGTGACCTTTGTCAGAGAGCGACGCGGGGAGGGCACAACTGAATCCCTGACTTCATGGCTGGCCAAATGTAGACAAGAGTCTTTGAAAAGGACTATGCTGTGAATGTGCAACCGAAGTGGATTAAAGCGAGGATATGCGTGTGGAAAGAAAATTGGGCATTTAATCTGAAGAGGCTAGGTTAAGTGAAGAATATACGGTAGAGTACATGCTTAGGATAAACGGTAGTCTGGGTTTATCAAGTTTAAATGATTTATGTAGATTCAAAGGTTATTTTTGTTATTTGAATGGCTGATGCTAAGAATTGTAGTGTTGAACCGTCTATGGAGTTTGTCGTAGATGTGTGTGACATCCAAGGTCACACAATTTGTCAGACTTGGTGCCAACGATGCCCGTTACGATCCACTCAGTGCGAAACACAAGAGTCACGCTCATTTACTTTTCAGCAGCTTCACTATTCAACACGTGCAGCACATGCATTCATGATTACGGATGACCTACTGTTAAGTGATTTCATTACGAATAATAATACAAATCCGCGAGTTTGTGTTTTGTGTAATTTGACATTGCCGAAGTCAACCGGTCGACATTTTGGGAATTTATATCTGAGAGTCCCGATTCCTGCGAGAGCCTTGCGTGGGTGACAAGGTGACATTGCCTTCGCCTATTCATACTTCACACCCAATGAGGAAATGTGCAGTTCGCACCTCCTCATTCCCATCGTGATCGTGGTTTTATGGTGGCTACTGAATAGTTCCAAGCCGCTCGTTTCTATCCGTTTCGTGTGCCAAAGCCTGGAGATTTTCGCACGAATGCCTTGACTGCATTTTTGCCGTAAACAGGCAACACCCCCCGCCCCCCCCCCCCCCCCCCGGGACCTTGAATGCCTCTCCGTCCCAGCGTGGCTATCGATTCCAGAAGCCTAAAACCCCGAAACCAGAATGCTGTGGCTTTGTTGTGCATGCTGGTGGTGGTGGTGTGAAATGTGTGCCCATTGCAGGGACATGCATGGCATTGTGCCAGTGTCAAAATGACTTTGTGATGCTGTGCGTGTGTGTTTTGTGGCTCGCAAGCGGCACACGAGTTGCGTTAATGGGGCTTTTGTATAACCCAGAGTTGGGGGGTCATGGAAGTGTATCATCCTTAACGGTGCCTGTTCTCTGTATTTATTTTGAAACTCGTTTGAGGAGGAAGGCATTTTGTCCACTCGCCTTCTTTCGAGTCCGCAGTGTGACCAAAGGAAGGGCCTCGAAGATTGTGGCTTCAGGATTTCCAAATGACTCATCTGTGTAGCAGTCGTTGGCCGCAGAAACCGATCATTTCACTGGGAACTCAAACTGGAATTTCTAAACCAATTTCTCATGCGATATTTTATTACAAATTTTCCCTTTACAATCGTTTAGAGCCATTACAAAGAATTCACAAATCCCTCCCCATGGTAAACAATTCACAGAAAGCATCTACTGGTGATGATGATCAAAATGACGATGATGATGATTATGATGAAACTGAGGACATTCAGAATTCTGTACTCGATTTTTAAAATTATTCCTGACTTGTGTAAGCCAGACGCCTTTCCAAAATTGTAAAAACTAAATGTATTTAACAATTCAACCGCCCAATTCCCTTGCAATTGTACGTGAAGTGAATCCGAAAGGAGCATGAGGTGACTGCTGTGCCTCGGGGCAGCTAATCCGCAACGTTGCCAACTTCTGAGAACCTGGGTTCAAAACTTACGCGAGCGATTGTAATATAGAAGCGGGATCTCAAAAGTCATTGCGTTTGTTCAATAATTTGCACAACAGACTGCATTATTTTTTAAAGGAGCCAGCCATCAAACACTCCTGCACGACTGAGGAATGTCCCGTTAGTTGTTGTTGTGAAATGCACCCTGAACCACATCGGGCAAAGCGCCGTGATGTCACCCCGATATTGTTTGCCAGACACGCGGCTTTGCGTGTTGTCTGAGAGGAAAACGATGTTGCCCCAGTTGCCAATGGAACAGATCGAAACGCTTATTGGGACACCGTTGAAAAAAAAAATCTGAGTTTGAATTTGAACAACTACCCCACGATTAAACTGGGACTCTTGAGTCGAGTTAGTTGATGGCTGTCAGGTCGAATACCAATGCCCACACGTACAAAACCCATTTCGTAAAACAATTGTTGTGTATGTGTGTGTGACAACTTGATTCATTCGAACTCAGAGAATGAAAACACAGTGAGTGTTACGACCACGAGACAAACACGGTTTGAAGGGTGTATACAGCGGTGCCTCTCATGCGCGTTTCTGAGGCCAATCGAAGGCCCTCTTGATAAACCTTTGGCGTCGTCCTTCAGGGCCCTGCTCTGGCACACTGCTCACTGTGAGAGGTCTGTACGCGGAAATACCTTTGATATCATGGCGTGGCATGGCTATTTAAACAAACTGGGTCTACAGTGGTGAGAAAATAGCAAAGCTGTGTCAGTTCGCTGTTTACGTGAACACGTTACACGAATGGCCGCACTGCTCCCAGATTGGTTATTCACGAAGACAGTCGGTGGCGTGGTGTAAGAGGGCGCGGCAGGTGACGCCGATGGGCAGGGGACGAGGATGACGGCGGTCCACGATGGACTTCCCGACCCTCTCCGAGTGCTTGCAACTTGCCGAGGCAATCCTTCGGCGGGAGCTTATGAACCTCATGGCGGTAGCCAGAGTACCCCGGCTCTCGCACAATGTCCGTGATGCAGTCGTTTCTAGTCTGTTGATGGTCGGCGACGCGGCTATCGACTCATCTCGACGAGCTGTACTCACGACGCGCCACCACCACGGTGCGTGCCGCGAGCGTTCGGGGGTTTCGGCGCGATCGTCCTCGCTGCGTTTCGACATCGCGGAGTGGCGGCACCGATTTCGGATTGATTGGTACCCTAAGTCGCGGAGTGAAGTTACACCCCTGGAAAAAAAATAGTGTCCCGGAAATAAAATATTTAATTGCCTCGGCCAATTTGTATTATTTGGTACCCCGGGGTACCGCCCTAAGGATCATTTGTCGGGTGCAGACGACTACTGGAGGCATGTTTATGATTCACCTCCCCGGTAAAATCAAAGATTGGTCATATTTAATCTCATTCTGACCGTCTCGTTTGTATTTTTCATTTCTTATTCTGGCTCCTGTTTCTCCCCCCCCCCTCCCCCCCAAACTCAATTATGTTAACTCTATAGCGTTTTATAAAATGTGCAAATCTCCTGAACAGTCGATTCTTGCACCCACGCTTGCGTGCGTGTGAGGGCGAGGAGCGACGATACCCGATGAATCCCCGTATCGTCAACGTGCCTAATGACCCGCAGTGTTCATGGGCTGCGCCATTACTTCCAGTCCTTTTCTTATTGGGTGCCATACTCCTGTTTTGTAGCCTGGGTTTTTTCTCATTTCTGCTCTTGTTAGTTTTCTTGCCGGGCCCAGTTATTTACTTTCATCTCAACTAATAAAATAAAACAATTGGTTCTCAAATAAAAACGAAACTTTATTTTTTTATTTTTTATTTTACCGGGTTAAGGCCCACTGAGCTATATATAATAATTTTTCAAAAGCGACCTGGCCACAAATTATAGCTCAACGAAGTGGCTCATCGCGTGGAAATGTATAGCAGCCAAATCCCTGAGCGCGTGGTGTTGATTCTAAATGTGGAGGGAAAAACCGGAGGACCCGGAGGAAAAATCCACGTGATCCGCGGGGAGAACACAACAGGCGTCGTCAGGGTCGAGATCGAACCCACAACCTCCTGTATACCAGGCGAGGTAGTTAACATCTCCTAGCCACCGTGGCGCCCCACGCGTTTAAGAATTGCGACGAGCACCTAGGGACAGCTTGCCGGGCCTCAGCTGCTAAGACACAGCTCCCGTTCGAATGTCTGCCAAACCTCCCCTGCTCAATTGTCAATTTGAAGCGAGCGTTACACAATATCCCTCCAGTTGAGTGGTCGACACTTAAAGTCGGTGGACTTGACTCTGCCGCGGTCGTGTACGGCGGCGAGACTTACAACGGTCGTGTTTTGCATCGGCTCCCTTTGTTGTCTTGAGAAAATAATAAATATATATTTAAATAACATAGTTATTTAACTTTACCCCCGATATTTAAAACTGATGGTGTCATGTAAAATAGCCTATTCATTTTTCACACACGTGTTCATGTACATGACCCAAGGTAATACAGTACTGTAACACACAGCAGTATGGACCATGTCTATCGGTATATATAGCAACAACAAAAGAACATCTTCTAGACTTTGCACTTTAACGTCATGATTATGTTTACTGTAGTAGTGTGTTGATGGTTGGTTTAAAACAAATATAAATGTAGGAATAAGGTGCAATGTTTACTTGATGGGGACCCACAACTTCTACAGTTGAGCTGATGGGGGTACAAAGGAGGAGGCGGTGCCGCTCAATGCCCAGCGGGAATCCTCCTGGCGAACCCTGCTTGCTTGGCGAACGTGGAACACCCCTTAGAATTACCGCACGTGTTACCCAGGGCATTGGCCCGTGAACACGGCTGGCTGGCTGGCTGGCTTTGGGAGGATGACGGCGGTGGCGGGCGTGGTGGCATTTATTTGCCCTCGTGGTTGAATCCGTGAGTTACCTTCACCCGCTTTGCCTCTGCACCCGAGCTACTGCCTCAGCAAGTGAGGGCGAGGCAGCGATGAGGTTTGCAGCGTGGATCCGCACCCCCCCCCAACGCCCCACCGCTTTCAACCCGTTGTTGGTCGGTGTGGTGTCAAAGGTCAAAAAAAGAGTACGTTGTGCTCGGACGAGCAATGTGGCAGCGGCACCTTTTGTTTTCTGTTGGTGGCCCCTTAGCCCAGCTGTGGAAATTCCACATTTCCAAGCCGTGAGCCAGTGTCACTGTAGGATAAACCCACTGTTGGCTTTCCACAAAGTGGTACTTTATGCAGCCAGAGAGAGGCGGTAGGCCTCGGCCAGCCAATACTGCTGTCTCTAATTGGGAGCATGAGCCACAGCGCAGCCAATGGCCAGCTAAATGATAGCAACGTGGAGTACAGAAACTTATCTGCAGAAGCTCAACATTTGGGATTTGAAAAATATCCCAGACGAACATCTCAAGGGGAATAAAAGGATGGGAATACTCTGAAGAGAATGCCCATTAACCGGAATAAAACTTTTTTCCAGTATTAAAAAAATACAATATT